TTTTTTTTTTTTTTTTTTTTTTTGGAGGCGAGAAACATAGTTTTAAGTGACAAACAATTTTGATAAAAACTTGAAGAACACTTTGGCACGATCTTTTGTGTCCAGTTATCCTAAAAGGAACGACCTGAGCAAATATTTGTCGATGATTCGTGCTAGGTAGACAACCTATACTCGGAATAGAAAGCATTCGAACGCGAAAATCTCGTGTCATAATCTTTAATCCATGAAACTGCTGCGCGACGAGGGTCCGCGACGCACTCCCGTTTACTTGCTTGCGCCGGCAGCAAAGTTGATCCTGCAAAGTGCGAGTGAGATGCTCTCTTTGATCTCTCACAAAAGCCGCCACACGGCATTGACCGTGGTTTATATATGCCATGTATGAGCCACTGTATTTGCTAGCTCACTCATTCATTAAATTCGTTGTATAATTAGGCTCGCCGGAACGGGCCCGAAGAAGGAGGGAACTCGACTTCGGGACTCGACGATCATTCTGCTCTATTTTGTCGCGCACTTTTCGCGAGCTCCTCTTCTTTTTCGCATTCCGTTCGTAATTGCGGCCGTGCGTCTCGATGTTCCTAGTAGAAACGCGCTAGGCGATATTTATCGCAACTCACACATAGGAATTCGTATACACCGAAAAAACCGACAAATATATTTTCAGGAGAAACACTTGGAAAATATCTTATTAAATCTATTTTTTGTGATCTTTTTAAACATCTCGTTGAATATTTTCATTAAATATTTACTTTTCAACAAATTTTCTTCGCGAAAAATTTCCTCACTTAAATTCATCCGAGAAAATATATAAGACTACCTCCTCTTCAAAGCCCTGCTAATTGCTCTAAATCCGCTAATGATATGCGAATTGTACAACTTGCAATTGAGAAGCAATTTGATTGCGACTACCGCCGGTATCGCGAGGGTGTTGTGCGTGATCGGTCGATCGACGAGCAAGATAGCCTTAATTAATAGATTCTCACCATTTTGCGCGACGCATTTGTGTTTGAGACGTCTCGCGGCGGGATGTTAATGCCGAGTCAAACACAAGGATGAGCACACGGTGCTTATTGTGCATCCCGGCACCTACCTGAGGTCCGTTCCACGCGTTGTTCGACGCCGTCCAAACGAGTGCGCGCGCGCGTATGTATGTGTGTGTGTTATACGCGCGTACACGCATTCTAATTAAACATATACAACACACGACGCGAAAGTGCAAAGAATACTAAAAAACATACTAAAAAAATTAAAGACTATATCGTCCTATTCATAAAGTAATATTTTTCCAACATATAGTGTTTAAAAGTTCGTAGACGTTTTCAATATTTTGCAGATATACCTTAGATTTTCGCATCGAGTTTCGAAAATCACGTGATTTCTCATTGCGAACTTACAGAGGAATCTCGTGATGTTTTGTAGTTTTCCATCTAGGAAAACGCCGGTAAATCGACTGGTGCGATGAAGACAGGTTCGCAGGGGATGCAGCAACGAAGGAAGAGAAAGAGTGATAAAGAGAGAATAAGTAAGAGTGATGGAGGAGAAGGAGAAGGAAGAAAAAGAAGAAGAAGAAAGTAGGAAGATCTTACGTGTCTCCCCACCAGAGGTAGGTGGTCCACGGAACCGCCTCCGTCGAGGATGGTCTGCCATCCGTCCGTCCGACGGTTTCGTGCGTGTGCCAGACAAGACGACGAGACGCGCACGTTCGTCTCCTCGCCTCAGCCTCTTTCACCCGTCGGTGGACCAACCTGTGCGGCCGTGTCGCGCGCGCGGTTCCATCGTCGCGTTTCTCCTCCTGACCGATCAGTCGGCCATCGGAGTTTACCTGATCCGCCAGTGCCAGTGTCGCGTCGCATCGCGTCTCGTCTCGCGTCATCTTCTCGACTTTTCCGGTACCTTAATGACGCAAATCAAATCAGAATAATAAACGACACGGCAGTTCGCGCTTCATTCTCAAATGACCAATAAGCCCAAATAAGAGTTGTTATCGGTGGACAAGACGATTATGCGGGAGATTTTAATTATGACACGAGTCGATGATCTTATCGAGGATCTTATCGAGGTCGATCGAGTCGAACTCAGCTCCATCCGATCTGGCGCCTCAAATTAGCGTGCTACGTATCGATCCTTGTTGAGACGTCTTGTAAAGAGTATCGGAGAACGTGTTAGGTTTCAAAGCAACATATCTCTCCTCTCGGCACGTCTCATCGTCATATCAATATCTGTCCAATTTTTCCGAAGTCGATAATGTCTGAGTGAATCAATCCGAGTGATCTACAAATTCGTACAAGCCGAATCAGCTTAATATCGATACAATGCGAGGACAAGGTCAGACGATGTCGGTCAAGTAGTTATAAAGAAGATTCGACGACCTAAATAAATCGCACCCTGATAACTCTCGAGTAATTATCAGGTTTTTTTCTCTCTCTCTCTTTCTCCCTCCTCTCTCTCTCTCTCTCTCTCTCTCTCTCTCTCTATATATATATATATATATATATATATATATATATATATATATATATATATATATATATGTATATGTGTGTGTGTGTGTATGTATCTATCTATAAACTTATCTATCTCTCTTCTTGCACGAGCTGCGACGAGGATCTTTTATCGTGAAACGTTCATCTGCTACTAATTTACGAGAGATGCGTTTCATTTTCTGTCAAGATTTACTATTCGATTTATCATTCATTATTTGAATAATATTCGACGTTTGTGTATTAAAAATATGGTTTCGAATTTGTAGAAACGTATGTCTTTGATATCTATGAAAAATATGTTTTTCGATGCGCGTGTGAGTGCCGGTCGTTATCAGTGAAATAACAATGGAGACGCATCACACTAATAACGGCTTATCGTCCATGGAAAACAAAGCCGGCCCATCGAATAACGAACACTGCAGTAACAATTCCCTGGACGACGCTGTGGGCAAGTTACTACAAGGTATATATAAATATATAAATTTCTGTATATTTAATTAATTATAACAAATAATATATAAATGAATGAACAGTATAAAATAATGTATGATACAATTGCAAACTATAGCAGATACTAGATTAAAATTAACATCTCAAAAGTATTATGCTTGGAAATTTTGACAAATTTTTAAATATAAGATTTATATCTCAAAGAGCAGACTTTTATTTATGTAGTTTGTGGTTCACTTACTGCAAAGACTTTATTACAACATTTTTGCATTTCTATTTAGCTTAGAAAATATAAGATGATAAAATGTTTTATTTTGAAAACATTCAAGTAATCCGCGACTCATACATCGCGTACTCGCAAGACGTAAAATCACGGCAATGGAAATCCTTTCGAAATTCTTTAGAGAAATACATTTGCCGGTGAAATTGGACGACAAAAAATGCCGACAAAAAATAGCGTACGTTCGCTCCTTCTTTCTCGTATTCTCCCGTTGTCTTTATCGAGTCGTTCAGAGAGAAGGCAGACTGTAATTGGCGTTGAAAGGCCGTGTCGTCGGATACCGCTCTTCTCCATTTCGCCAGCCTGCAGATTTATACAGACGACATTCGGGAGAGTAGAAAGTGGGTAGAAAGGGTAGACTCGCGAAGTGCGGTAGACAGCAGGGAAATATAGAGGGAGAGGACACGGAGGCAGAGTCGGAGATGAGGCGGAGAAATATAGCCGAAGATCGCTCCTCACGAGATGATTCCGGGGAAGATTCGAGAACGGCAGGTGCTGCGAACCGAGCGAGACCGGCGCGGCGAACGCCTGCCACCCGTCGCTAATTATGCCGCAGTACCGAATTAAATCTGAAAGATCTCGCGCGCGGTACCGGACATGATTTACAGCGCACGTCGAGACTTAGTACTCACGAAATTTCGCCAGAGATACGTCGTCGTCGTCATTATCGTCGTCGTCGTTGTCGTCGTCGACGTCGGCGACGTCAACGTCGTCAAGATGGACGAACGAACCGACAGACAGGTGGAAATTACCGACTATGATATCTTCGCAAGATTCTAATTTTATCCACACGAACGTTAGACCATGACAACAATCGCGACGCGAATAATTACGAAAATTAATGAGGTCTGGCCGTTGTAGCAGATATGAGAGGAAAGAGTCGGATATATCGCTCCTTCGTCCAAGCTGGATCGAAGAGAAGACGCGTAACACATGCACACAACCATTAACATCTCCTGTTAAGTAACGTTTACTGTATATACAATTATTTTTTCTTAATAATCAACAAATCTACTTTTCTCATAAACAAATTTTTGCTTTCTCTTCTTCTTCTTAATTTTAATAATTGTCGACTTTGACACTATCGAGTTGCAATATTACCAATTGAGATCCGCTAGAATCTGGCTATGAAAGTACTCAGCTATATAATGTAACGTTATATAAAATAAAACGGTCCAGAAAGGATGATAGAGCGAAAAGCACTCATATTCTTTGATACACGAAGTTGAAAAATGGTTGGCACGCGCGAGAAACTCGTAAACATTATCCGCAAGAATGCATAATCTAAATAGTTTATCGTATAGCTTGAGGAGAGACGTGTCTCTGCGTCGCGTTTAAATATTTAATCCACCAGTGCTAATTGATGAGCCTCTCGTTACATAGTATCCGTTCGACGAAAACACAGGTGACCTTTGATATATAGATATTTCTCGTCGAACATATATGTATAATTGTGCGGTTTAACATAGAAAATATTTTAATTAACCAACGGGAGTGTGATAACTAACATGCCGATACACGTATATTACGTAAGTTCTATGTCGCGTGGAGTTTTTGGAAAACTTTCAATTCGGATAGGTATCGCACGCATTCAATCGAACGGAAAACGATCCTGCGCTATATCGCGAGCATATCGTCTCGCGACGTATCACGAAAATCGTGGAGATGCACGTGGCGATGAGTGCGGAACGTCAAACATCGGCGGGACGAGGTGTCGAAGCGTTTAAGAGGGTCTTGTCAAGAGGGGATTTGTAAAGGAGTTAATGTAGCAAGAGTCGACGACAGGTCACCATTGACGACCGGCATGGCCGAGCACACCGGTTCATTCACCAGGATGCACAACCCGCCTATTGTAGGTCGACGGATGCGCAAACTGCGGCCCTGATCTCCACTCAAAAGCCGTTTACATCCTGAAAAAGTGCGACAATTTCTCGGTCTCATTGGTGCGGCGCGTGTCACCGATTCGCAGTCGTTACATCGTAATTAGTCAAATCGAAATGGAGGAACGGGATAGAGAAGAGTCTAAAATTAAGCGCCATTTGGCGCGAGTTTCTGTTAATTCCGCGATCAGGATTCATGATTTAATCGCACCGCAAGTCTGCGTTGAACGCCAAAGAAACCGATCGACTCTCGCGATAACGAGCGTATCTGTCAATGTTGCTCCGAGATAAAGCTTCGTTCTGCGACTAATACCGCTTTATATTTTGGGCGTATCAACGTTATTTCCTACTTTTGCTCCATTTAAGAGGGTACTTTGGCCTTCTACTTGTGTCTTCTACTAAGTATTTGACATTAGAAAGTTTATAAATGTTACATTGCCGAAAGCAATTCTTATTCAAGAGAACGGCTGTAGAAAAAATTTTAATTGAAATAAAATAAAATAGAGAGTGGAGTTAATTGTCCAACAAAAGCGACAATTTTAATAAGCTTTAAAAACTCTTTTGAAGAAAACGAATTTCTTTCTCGCGTCAAGTTATTGCAAAAGAAGTGACGAGCTGAGCAAATTTTTTTTGTTCACTGTGCACACAACTTTCGTAGCTAAAAGAGTTCACTCTTCTCGTCGGTACCGTCGGTTCTCAAAGAGGACCGACCATGCCACAGGCTACCGCGTCACTCTATAGGGCCAACCAATGCTTTTTTCATCGACCACATAGGGTCCTTCGCCCTTACAGCTGGTTCACGCGAAAATCCCTCTATTCCTGTCGCGTTCTTGGCAAGTCCTTCCGCGTTTCCGTGTAAAATATATTTCGGCAGCTATCGACGCAGGCGTCGACCAAGGACCTCCCCCGAACGTTTAAAGGCGCCGACACAAGTGCCGCACCGTTGGACCGTGTACCCACGGTAATTAGCTTCCACCGGCCTTCGAGGTCTGGGATGACGCTTCGCCACGTGGTCTTGCCCGCTCCCTTCGTGACTGTGACTCGCCCTCCGCTATTCAGCAGTAATTAGGGTCGAGAGCGTAATACTTGACACAATTTCTCCGTAGGATTTTTCTTCACGAAAATAATTATACATTTATCAAATAACGAATTTCTGACGAATGCACGAGAAACGTGTACTTTAGTTAGCAAAAAAAAGTGAAATTTTATACAAGATACAATTACAATATACACCCTCCCCTTCTCTCTCTCTCTCTCTCTCTCTCTCTCTCATTTCCACTGCCTCTCCATTTACCGTTCCCTCTCTTCTTCTGTCACCCTCTCTTCCTTCCATCTCTTTCCCTCCCTACTTTCTCTCCCCTACCCTCTCTCTCTTCTTCACCATCCCTCTTCCCCTTTCCTTCCCTCTCACTCTCTCTCTCTCTCTCTCATACCCGCCCCTCCCATTCTCCCCTCTCTCTGTCCCTCTCTCCTCCCACTCTCCCGACAGGTTTTTCCTTCCTTCTGTCCTCCTCTTTCTTTTCTCTCCTTCCTTCTCGCATCATCTCTCTTCGTCCTCTCTCTCCCTGTCCCTCGTTGCCTCTCTCTCTTCACTCCTCTCTTCTCACACCTTCTTTCCTACTATATTTTTTTTCTCTCCCTCCCTTTCTTTCTCCCCCCTCCCTCTTCCTCTCTACTATTCCATCTCCTTCTCTTCTATTTTCTCATATCCTCCCAACCCTATCTTCCCTCTCCTTATCCACTCACCTTGCACTTCTTTCTTCCTTTCCCTCTCACTCAACAACCCCTTTCTCACTCTCTCGCGCTCTCTCACTTTTTCTCTTCCTCTCTTTCACCTCATTCTCATGCCCCCTGTTTTCCTCCGTCTCCGTTTCTAGCCACGGTCTCCGTCCCTCTCCACCTCTCTCTCCTCCTCTCCATCTTCCTCCATTTCTCCCTCGCCGCTCTCCCTCTATCCCTACTACTCATTTATCTACTCCCCTATTTTCCTTCTTCTCAATTTCTCTTTGACCCTCTCTTTTGTTGCACTCCTTCTTCCTTTCCCTTCTCTCTATCTTTCTATATTTCTGTTATATATGTCGTGTGTATGTGTGTGTGTGTGTGTGTATAAATTTGGGCAATTTGCAAATTTTCCTCAAAACTCTATGTTCCAGCATGGTTCCTCCAAATTAGACTCCAGACCGGGCCGAGGTATTAAGGTTTAGGATAAACTGCGCTTGGAGCACAGCACAGATTTACATAAGTCGGTATACGTTTGTTCGAAGGGAGGGACAAGGTTTTATGACCCCATCTTGCTTGACGCTCGTTTCCCACGAAGTGAAATGTAGGAACACATCCGGAGCCGAATCCTCTTATTAAGTGTTCCCGAGATTTCGAGCAATCCGAGACCCTTGTATCACTCGGCGTTCCGGCCATACTACCACAAGCAGGGATGTAGTACTCGAGACCCATAGGAACGCGTACATTAATTCCAGTGCTGCAACGATATCTCGAAAGAAATAAAGTTTTTTTTTACCTGGGAAACATTCGCTGGAGATGATCAACGTAACCCGACCAGTTCCAGCTGGTCATTCGCGCGCGAGAGAGGAAAAGATTACCGAGAAAACGGTAATAAGTGAACGATGGAGGGAACAATAAAAACCACCGTGCTCTCGGCTGGACCCTCTCCCTTTCTCTATACACGTATACGATTTCCAGGTCGTAAAACTCCTATCGCGTTCGCAGTAAAGTTAAATAAGAGGGAAGACAGATGAAGAGGAGAAAAACCAGCGGCGTCACGACGAACTCGTCTCGGACGAATCGGCCGCACGAGCCGCGAGCGCGAGGATACAGGTGTAGCTTTATCTCGTGTTCTTTTACGATCCGATTCCGCAACAAGACTACTTCCGGTACTCGCGAGGGCGGCCCGTGTCTACAGGAAGATAAGCTAGAACTGCGCCATCATGCGTTTGCAACGTATGTTCCGTGATAGATGAAATCGTGATTAAGTTATTAAGTCGACATCAGCAGCGAATGTCGAAAAGCGATGTAGAAATCTATATTAGAAAAAAGAAATAATTGAGAAATTTCATATACGCGACACAAAAACAAATCCCTCTTCGACGAATGATATAAAAATCATTAGACTTTTCGCTCGTTGTATTTGCAGGATACGACTGGACGTTACTTCCGGTGACTTCGCGCGCAGGCGGTCGAAGAAGCGCTCACGTGAAGCGTCCCATGAATGCCTTCATGGTATGGGCGCAAGCGGCGAGGCGAAGATTGGCCGACCAATATCCGCAATTACACAACGCCGAGCTATCGAAGACGCTAGGAAAGTTGTGGAGGTAAATAGATTCTTATGCGTCAACCGTCTACTGAAATTAAACATTCCGCTCGCTACCTTATAATCAAACTTATAAAACTTATAATTAACGTCTCAGCAACTTGACACTCGCGCTAGATCGTATCCCGATATTACTCATGACTACACTTGTATTTACGCGATTTATCTGCAACAGGATTTTGAGCGACGGCGAGAAGCAACCGTTTATTGAGGAAGCAGAGAGATTACGGAATGCGCACAAGAAGCAACATCCGCACTACAAGGTAAATAATTGACTGACTAGCGAGAATCGCCACGAAAGAATGCGTATAAAGAGCTCATTACTCCTCTCGAAAGGTGGCAATACTCGCTTTTCCACGCGGGTGCAGCATTCATCTCGCCCAGTCATGTCGCGTTTGACTTTCTCGCTCGCGTAAAGCGGCGACACGGATGGCTTGACCGCGGGGAATTCATTTCCCCTTCTCGTAAATCATCGGCAGCCCTCGTGCGCACGCGGCGGTGGGGCTTAAATCGCGCGATCGGGCCTCGATTAACCACTCGAGTGCTCTGAACGAACGAACGTGTATTGCACGCGCTAATTCGTCCCGCTATCCCGAATCGGTCTGCTCGATCTTGCAACGCGATTTCGCAACGCGCGAAACGTTCTGCGTATTTTTAATGATGCGTGATTACTTTGTCCTCTTCGTCTTCGCAACGCGCGACGCACGGGCGCCGTTACGACGATTACAGATGCAGCACCTTGAAAATATTTTCAAAGAATAAAACTCGCAAAAATGACGCGAGAATGATCCTTCTTTTTTTTCTTCCAAACAAACAATTAAATTTTATTTATATTTGAGCTCAAATAATCCTTAAATACGGACAATGATTGAGGAAGAAGTCAAGCGGGGACAGTGTTTTTATTTTATTAAATTGGGGCAAAAGATTTGTCGTTTTCCATAAAATTCTAATTTGTAGGAAATTTGAATGTTAAAAAAGAAAGAAAAAGGGATAAAAAGATTAAGAAAATACTTCGTTAGATATCTACAAAAACATTTGGCCAACGCGCGTTACTTATTTAATTCAAAAAAGTTTACCTACACTTTGAAAGTTAATTCTAGTTCGTAACTTTATTTGACGAACTTTTCTAACACTCAAGTATAAAAGATAAATTTTCTCGATTTGATACGTGTTTTTATATCACTAACGAGTATTTTATGTGCCGTTCCTAGTATCAACCGCGTCGAAGGAAGCCCAAGTCGGATGATCAGATGGGCATTATCGTACACAGAAGTAGTTTACCTTCGTCAGGTACTTCTCTCGATTCAACTGGCACCGGTTCAGACTGCACAAGCTACACCCGTCTGTATTCGGATGCCGGTATGAAAGCGTATGAGCGAGCGGCTTACGGACACGAGTCCAAGTCCACCTACGATCACCTGGCCCGGCCAGGTATCTGGGTGAACGAGACAGCCAAGTATCCAGCCGATCATCCCAACAAGGCGTACGACGCGACCACGAAGAGCTACGCTGAAGCCAAGTGTCACGAGGTTGCCAAGTATCATCACGAGATGACCAGTAGCAAATATCATGAGATGACTGGCGGTGGTGCCAAGTACCCGGAACTACAGTCCAAGAACTACGAGCTGCCCAAGTATTCGGAAACCAAGGGATATTCCACAGAAATGAGCGGCGCCGCTACCAAAGCGCCGTACGCTTACGTGCATGGCCAATATTACCCCGCAGCTGAAGGATACGCCGTACACGAGGAGAACGAATATCAGGCGCAGAGCGTCTCGCCACACTCCTTTTATCCCTATATATCCGCGTCGATGGCACAACCGCCATACTATATGGGGCCTCGATAGGTACCAGCTTCCTTGGTCCTTTTTAACGACGACTGTGACACGACTCCTCGTCGTATAGTGACCTGTCGACAGTTTACAAGAGTCCGTAAAGTAACTCGAGCAATAGTGGGTGATACCCGGCGACAAACTCGATAGACCGTTTAGGTTCCGTGAAGTAAAGCATATTACTCGATATACGCTTTGTGACAATATATTTCGTTTCTTTTTTTAATTTATTTTTCTCTGTAAACGCTATAACGATATTAATAAATTACTTCTAGACACTTTGAACTCGTGACTCACCTAATTTAACAATAACACCCACACTATTCAATTAGCAGAGATTACGAAAAACGATAAAAAGTGAGTTGAATTGTAATATAATATCAAGAATTGTGCATTATTCGTCGTGTCGTGAGAAGTTCCTAATGAACTAGAATGAAAATTTGTTCCCAATTTGACTATGAACGCGAAAAGAACACACGATATGGTACGCACGATCGCTGCAAATCAGTTGTTTGCTACATATTATTACAAAAAGAAAAGAAGGAAAGATGTAATATTCACTAAAAATCTAATGTCAGCAAGTCTAATATCAAGTCTAATATCACATTGGTCGTAGTGAATAGCGGTGAACTTGTAACCTAGCAGAAAATTGTCGTGCTAACGATCTCGCCATTATAATTTTCTCTGTAGCTATGAGCTACTATTGATAATCGCTGCCAGTTCTTTCACTTGATCTCGATTCGCGTGCATAAACGCCTTGGCGGACCAGATCATGTGCACCAAGATCTCGTCGTTCTTCTCGTCCATCGCGACCTCCGTCGACAGTTGCGGATTGAATCTGTAGTACGGGACGCCGATCATGGAGCACCAGCTTCTGGCACGATCCACCACTCGACCGTCGCTAGCAGTCGCTTGGTCGACCAACAACGTGCCGAGCGCTGAGATGCCGAAGGCGAGCTTCGCGGTGTCCCAGAGACTCTCCGGCCGAAAAACATCGATCTCTTTGAGAGCGTACGTAGTAGGAGTGCATCCAGTGCCGAGAGAGACTACCAATGTCAGCGGCACTACCTGCTGCGGCTGACCGGTGGCCTTCAACGCCAGATTGTACTCGTGTATCTCCGCCATAGCGTCCAGAGTGGGATTATTTGCGATTAAGCCACCGTCCAGAAATCTACCGAACGCTCGAAAGTACGACGGCGCAGCACCGGTGGCTCTCGCTGCCTTCCACAGAAGCTGCTCTTCCGGCGGTAATGTGCGCTTGAACATTGTATTTTCCGCCACTTGCAGCAAAGTGCTGGGTGAATCGTAATTGCGGAACAGATGAAGATCCACAGGCTTTCTGTCGGCAAGCACGCCGGTAATCATGATCTTTGGCTTTGCGATATTCGCCATAACTGTGTCCGCACCGAGACATTCCTTCAACACCTTCTCCAAGCCCTCACTGTTGTACGGACGCGAACCCACGAAGGCGTCCTCCTTGATACGAAAATAGAGCGCCTGGCATTCGCGTAAGGACTTGCCGGCGGCGAGACCGAGAGCGAGAATGCCACCGGTTGACGTGCCGGCGATCCAGTCGAAGCACTCCACCACAGGTCGCCCAAGCACCGACTCGATCTCCAATAACGTTTGGATAAGCACCAACCCGCGAATACCGCCACCGTCGAGGCAAAGCAGTCTGCCGCCGTCGACAGTTGTTCTGTCTCGCTCGGTCATCTTATCCATGCCGGAAACGTGCAGCATCTGATCGATGACGGTGCGCGTTACGTGGTGCGGCGGTTCCGACGGCGCGATGCCGGTATAGGTCTCGTTGAATTTGCAGCCGAGATGGCAACCTATTATTTCAGGCGGACATCGCTGCGCGCCCACCGCGTGCAGCAGATAGATGATCTTGTTACCTTCGGTGTTGTCGATATTAGCCTTGTGCAACGGTGTCTCCGACTTCCAGTTGCGAGCGTTGAGGTCGGCACCGAAACCGATGAGCGCTTGCACGATTATTAGATCCACAGCCAGATGTAGCGGGGTATTACCCTCGTTGTCGACGATGTTTACGGACGCCATATGGCTGAGCAGTGCAACTACGCACTCTAGTCGCTTGCGCATCACCATCACATGTAACGCCGTGCGCCCGTCGAAGTTGACCGCGTTGATGTCGCAGTTCTCGATCAGCGCGCATATCACCTCGCGACTGCGCGACCAGTGCAATGGTGTACCGCCAAACTTCATGTCCTCCGAGTGGAGCACGTTCGGCTTGTTGTGCAAGAAATCGCCAACGTAACCGGGGCTGGAGGGCTCGGAACCCTCGGTAGCGGGTATATTAACGTCAGCACCAATCAGCAGCAACGCCTTCACGCACTCGGGCTTGTCGTTGTGACAAGCTACGTGAATAGGAGTGTGGCCGTTGCTGTTACGGCTGTTGAGACTGTTGGGCAGACCAGCTCCCAAGGCCAGAATGATCTCTTTGGTCGACGTGGCCGCGTAATGATAAACGGTGTTTGCGCTATGATCCAGATGCTCCAACGAGCTCTTGGCCGCTATCAGCATTTGCACAGTGCGTAGATTGTTGGTCTGCACGGCGACTTGCAGAGGCGAGATGCCGGTTTCCAAATCGCCACTGTTGAGCTCGCTGTTGACGATTGCGTGTGAGAAGGCGTCGTACAGCGCGAATTTTGCCGCTATATGCGCCAGCGTCCATGTAGGGTGCTCCGTCAGAGTATCACAGAGCTTCTGTATTTTCGCAACGCTGCACATCTTGAAAGAAATAAAATCGTTATTAATCGTAGCTGTTTCTCTTTTCTTTCTTATTTATCATATATCATATACTTAGGAAACAAGAGACATATCCTATGGATATCAAAAGCTTCAGATAAACTTAAGGAGTTTATTTACCAGATATGTATTTACCAGATATGTATTTTCAAGACGTCTAAGGGACATATATTTAGTGGTGCATGAAGGGAGCAAGTTCACTATTTATCGTAAAAATTACATTTTTATATATTTCACTATCTAAATAATAAATTTTAATTTGAAACTAATTTCATGATATTACCTTGCCACGTTTCACTCAGTACATTTCACTCAAAGCATAAAACAGCAATTTTCTAGCCTACAACTAATCATTACACAAAAACAGTATAGTGAATACTTTTTTTCTCCTATATGCTGTGTTTTCTAATATATAATAATTACAACAGTAAGATTTTCATTTGGATGTTATCACTTTTTACAACGTTATACTGGAATAATAGTCACTTATATTGTTCCTATTATAAAGTTCTACTATAACAGTAGAATATCTTACAACAATTGCAAAATTACAGACAGTATAGTGCAAAGAGCTAGACTAAGACTAAGCTGCTACTAAAGAGTAAATTGCTTTTTCTCCTAGTCACTTAGTATCAAATGTTTCATGAATAGTGCAGACAAGTAGAGAAACTTCAACTACATGTAATGTAACTTCAACTAATGTTTTACTAGAGTAAATGTTATATTAAATTTTTATACAATTTTAAGACTTTTTAACTAAAAATAAACTCCTTAATTATATTAATTTCTATACACACACACACACACACATAAAAGTTACCTCACGCACTATCTGTACAAGTACTGGTACTTTATCCTTATATATTACGAATCTCTCCACTGCCGCTTCGAGAGATTCGGCTCGGAACAGGCTGAGAGAAGCAAAGCATTTGAGAATTAATTTAAGAAATTAATGGACAAACTATGATAACGATGAAAACAATGAGATGCACCTGTACGCCTGATGAAGGGTCTCCGTACAGGGTCTGTGCAGTACAATCTCATACTTTTGACTCTTATCGCCGGGCCCGTATAATACGATGCCATCCTCGCGGGAGTAAATATGCCGATTGCTATAATGCTCCGGTCGAACCTCCTGTACGACATTCGGCGGCGTATCTACGTAGACGATGTTACGAAGCACATTATTCGCTATTGCGCCTATCCAGGACATGATACTGTCAGTCGTGACGTCAATTGTAACTTCGCTAAATATCTCACTATTCAATAGACAGTCACGGATTTCTACCGCGTCAGAACGTTACGCAAGTTTATGTTACTCATAGTATGACAAAAAAGTGGCATGACAACTCGTCCGTAGTTTATAACACTGTTCTTACTCTACTCGTAATATAATTCTACCAAATAACTAGAACTTAACCTAACTTTCCTGTTAACAATGAAATCCTTTAAATTTTCAAACAGCATGAAGTAACACAAAGCATGAAGGAACACAAAGCTAGCGGCCAGCGGATGGAAATACTCTGTTCTGATTGGTGCATTTCTGGAGAAGGATGGAAATACACCAATCGAAACAGAGCATTTCCATCCAGCAAGCAATCCAGCACGAAAACAATCACCATGTGCCGCTGGCTTAACTTATTGCACCAGTACACAGCAGTACAGTTGAAAAAACAGACCTACTGTCAGTATTACAAAATATCTATAGTATATGTAATAGAGAATTCACACTGCGTTCGATGTCCGACGTATGATATCCGATATCCAATAGGAGAACAGGGTACCTATTATAGACTTCTTCGGAATCAATTCCGATCGGAATAATTCCGTTTCCCCTAGAAAATACAATAGAAATCTAGGAAATAACTGAATGTTTCCGATCGGAATTGATTCCGAAGAAGTCCATAATAGGTACCCAGCTTTCTAATAGAGAATTCAATTCTCCATTGGAAAGTTATTCTTTTATTGGATATCGGGCGTCGTACGTCGGACATCGGACGCAGTATGAATCCTCCATAACATAAACTATTAATTTTTAATATTGGCAGTGAATATTAAACACAAATGCCATTTGGTGAAATCAATTTCGCCAATATTTATATTGTATCACATTCTCCGAATAATTCCCGTATTCATAGTCAGGTCCAGGGTTGGGCATGTATTATACTGAGATATTATACATTGTATTATATCAGAGAGAAACCTGAGAGCGGCCATGCCATACGTTTTGACTGACACCGATTTTCACGCTGTTTGATGCGCCATCTGTACACATTTTTGAGGTGGATCTACGTTCCCTACGCCCATTTTCAGACGCTGCCGGTAAAGTGTCAATTTGTTGCGTGTCCATTCTATGTCCATTTTCTGGCGATTTGTATCCGTGTTAAGCGCATAATTGCATGGTTAAGAACATAGACAGTCCATGTCGAACAGCGTGAAAATCGGTGTCGGCCAAAACGTACGGCGTGGCCGCTCTCAGGTTTCTCTCTGATTATATACTGTATTATATAGTAGTTGCTTTCCAAGAGACACAAGTCGACACAAGTATCATCCTATCTTTGTTATTCACTAAATGTGGAACAAAGATAGAATGGGTGCTTTCCAATTGCTTAACACATCTTGACATACACATACATAAAACAGTTTATTGGTCACATATTATCTAAAATATCTTGTAAGATAATATGCAACCAATAAACTGGTTTTGTGTAACACAGTGTACGCAACTGAAAGCACCCAATGGGTGCTGTTATGTTTCCTGTATCTCATTACAGCAGTAACATAATATATTCATCATGTCACTAGATTTTCACTTTTCCGCCAGCACATTTCATGGCTAACAAGTTCACATGAAAAATTTCATGTTTCTACGCTCGCCGAGTTTAGTGATCACGAGTTCACGTGAAACTTTTCACGTTCACTTTTCACGTTTCCGCCCTAGGGGAAAAGTTACATGATCGCTGCCCAGGCCTCTAACTATGAAAGGAGCGTCCCGATTGACCACGGTACGATTGGACCAATTGATGAAAAGAATTATCTAGTGAATACTAGGTCGAACCAATCATTACAATCTGTGTCCAATCGTATCGTGGTCAATCGGGTCCCACCCGACTATGAATATGGGTATAATGCCCGTTTCTATCAACTTTGGTTAACTTAACCGGCTGGTTATTCCAATGGAATTGACCAATGACATTTGTTTTAATTCTTAAGAAAAAAAGAAGTGCAATTGATCAATTCCGTTGAAATAACCAATCGATTAAGTTGATCAAAGTTAGTAGAAACGGGCATAAAACAACAAATTCTACACGCTTTAAATAATACGCGCTTTTCTTTGCTGAACGCAATCATTAGTCCCCGATCTACAATAGGTATAATAAGCGTTAAGCCGTAAAAAACTAACCAATCACGATTGACTATTCTTCTATAATTCGACTATGATTGGTCAATTTCTTAAAGCTTACTATACCTATTGTAGATCGGGACTTATCGTTGCCTAGGTAACACCACGATATAAACAAGTATATTTTATGATCTATTTTATGTAGAGTTAAATTCGACCGCACGTTAAAATGTATTTGCATATAAGATATTGCTCGCGTCCAACATAAAATATAACGATTATTGTGCTCAAAGTACTTCCATACAATTACATCTTGTTATATTTAACAATTAAGCAATCCCCTCTATTTGTTAATATAATTTGTAGAATTCCTTCAGTATTATATGATTTTCGAGAGTGTGACGCGATGCCTTTGTTTTCAAATAAATTTTCCCCCAAAAAGACACCGACTAGAAAGGCATCGGTTTTCTTAGCAAATAAAAATTTAAGTCCTAAACGAATAGAGAAAGAACTCGGCCCAGAAGTGGGTCCTATACGTCTTCGTCTTGGAGACCAAGAAGCTGTCTTTGAGTCAGGCCTTTGGATTCCAGGTGAATCACTTTGCTTTAATGCATTTTGCTTCAATATACAAAGGAAATTTTATTTTAGAATCTGGCAAAGTAAGCGGCACTTTTAAAGAGAACGAGAAACTAACAAAGGAAGTAAGACGATTAGAAGAGGAGAACAATTTGTTGAGATTGAAGTTTGACGTACTATTAGATATGGTAATTTTCTCTTTGCGTTTCTCTTAGAAGTAAGATAGGCTAACAATGACATCCGTACTTGGATTAACTTTGCATCAGTACTATATGATATACTACTAACAGTAACTTGCAGTGACAACAGAATGACAGAATTATTTATTGTATAGAGTTAACAGAATAATTTGTATTCTTATGGTAATATGATTTCACAGTTAACTCAGACAACTGCTAAGGCTCACTCACAAAAAGAAGAATTGGAGAAACTAAAGAATAATTTCTCTCACAAGAGGTTCTTGACCTAGTTTGTTAAATATTATTACTTATACTTAGGAACTAAACAGCATTTATAAATTAATACCAGTCGACTCAGGTACTTGTTTAAAAGATTGAACAATGTTTCAGTTTGATATTTATGAATATCTTCTCGGTTCAAAAAGGCATTGGTTCAAGTCTTAAAGACTTTGTTGAATTCTGCTTCTTTCTGATGTAAACTTTTATACAAAGTAACAATCAACCATACTATGAAACTGTACATTATTTACAATGTTGTGTTGAAGAAAACTGGCTCGTCAGTCTATTACATTTTCCGGGCACGTTCTTCTTGTATGACCTGATGTAAAAAGAAAAAAACAAAGAGAAAATTATGTATAGTGTAAATGTATAAGAGATATAGATATGTAATAAAAAAAAATCATCTCTTGAAGAGAAGCCACTACTACAGTGTCAGTTAAGGCTCCTGGGGAGTCGCATCATCCATCTCTTTTTTAATGACGTCAGAAGCGAGAAAACGTATGCTAAAATTCCTGCAAAGTACGTCGAGATAAACAGATATATCCACAAAACGACACTTGCGATCGATTAAGTACACCTCTAAAATACTCCGTACACTTTCCTTTTATTCTAACAATCAACAGATAATTATAAAATAAATGTGACGTGCAATCATCTTTTCCTCATTATCTAACCTAACCTAATTTCCTCATTATCTTGTCATATTAATTTTCCGATTATCTATTGATTTTTAGAACAAAAGGAAAGTGTACGGAATATTTTAGAAGTGTATTTAATCGATCGCAAATGTCGTTTTGTAAATATATCTGTTTATCTCGATCTATTTTGCAAGAATTTTTAGCATGCGTTTTCTCGCTCCTGACGTCATTAAAAAGAGATGGATGATGCGACTCCCCAAGAGCCTTAAGAGACGTCAATTATATTACTTACCTTCGATTCCGCAAATTCCGCACTTTCTCTTGCCGCTAGTTAATCTGGGCCGTTTCGAAGCATTACTGCCACTATTATATTCTCTGCTTCTTCCGCTATTTACAGTAGAAGAATTGTTCCAATCTGTATTTTCATCGGCCCATTTAAAAAAGTTACAACCTGAGTTCATACTCTTCGAACAGCCGTAAAATTGTCGTCCTTTATTTGGGCCTTCTTTGTGCACTGTAAGTCTAAATAAACATGAAAAAATGAATTAGCTGTAATATTTTCTTTATTAAAAAGAACTGAAAATCATAAAAATCAAGGAGTGCACTTACTTTCGAGCAGGTTGATTACATTGACACATGACATCGTTCGACAATGCGCTATTTCCCCAATCGACATTAGAAGTAACTCGAGAAGAATGACCAATACTTTCGGCACTCCTGTTACTTCTACCCGTTAACCGATTGAAATGGTCGCTCATTTGAGACTCCTCGCTATTTGAGGCCCACAAGAAAAAATCACAGCCGTTACCTTGCGGCTTGGCACATTTGTAAAATAGGCGTCCTGCGATCACAACGATACAAATGAATAAAGATGATATACACAACGAAAATTAAAGAATGCCCAAACTTGTATCAATATGAGCTTTTTGTATCAATATGTGAATCGGGTGCTGTTATATTTATACAGAAGCGCACAAGCACTTTCACTCAAAAAGCTCCTTTGATTATAGACGTTACCTTTATTCGGCCCCTCTTTCCTTACTGTCAGTTGAATCGCGGTCTCGTGACAGTTGCACATAATCTCGGTATTACTGTCTATATCACCCCAATTAGCCCTATTTGCTGTATTACGAAAATTTCGGGACGCAGTTTGATTCGATCTGTTATCTAAACGATTTGTATTATGCCGGAGATCGATGTTTCCTCCGTTATTGGATATCGTCGTATCTCTATTCACTGTACTGTGGTTTCGCGCATGCCCTCTAGATGTGCTGGAATTTTCGTTATTATTAGTTTGAACACGTCTTGTACTAGAGAAGTTAGGGACCGATTGATGTCGCTGAGTAGAGCCGATTGTCGCAGCTGAACTTCGAGATGTACTCGAGGTAAAAGTAGAGCTCGATGTATTACTGTGGACGGTGTAATTCGATCTTCCAGTTTGTCGGATACAATCTTCCCTAATGTTCAACAACTCATTGAATGTGGAGTCGCAACCTATGCAAGTGGTGTAAGAAGTACCGTACAAGGGTATAACATTCCTGACCAACTTGAACTTTAATTTACGCACGTTCTCTGTACACTAAAAATGGATCGTTTTCATTTGTAAATCAAGTGCGTAATTGAAATACCGCGATTAAAAACGTTGCGTTTACCTGATCGCACGTCTCACTTAAGGCTTCCACATCCTCCACAGCTTCCGACAACCAGATTGCATTGGTACACGCCGGATAGCTCATACAACTAATATATTTTCCTCTGCCCTGCTTTCTGTTTTTCAAGACCATATTAGAGCCGCACTTAGGACACTTGAAAATGCTGACGTCTTCGACAAGAGCGAACTGCGTTTCCTCACTTTGAATAGGTCTTTCTTCGAGATAACGCGCTAAAGCGTCGTCTATGAGATTAGCGCGCTCCATCGCTACTCTGAACACCTCGCGGTACTTGTTAATTTGATTCTGCAATACTTCGTTCGGATATTTTTGACGCTGACATATCCTGCCAAAATAATGTCAAATGATAAAAGCATGTCTATGTCTATGCACGTATCGTTCGCATTGGAGTAGAAAAGAATAGAAAATGATGTAATAATTACAAATATTACTACCATTACATACACTAATATCAGCTACTTATATAACTACTATATCAATAACAGTTGTCGACTCACAGTTGCAAATCCTTCTCCAAATCGGCGCGCAAATCCGGCTTAGACATCTGGAAACCCATATTATCGTAACCCATCACCAGACCAATACCCAACTTTCCTGGCATGAAATGCTGAGTGTCTGTTAGGCCTACATATTGTCTGGATTTGATAGTGTCGATATGCTCGGCGTGAGTGGCGTCCGTGCCGATACCGTGCTTATCCATCAAAGCAATTAGCTCGGCTTCGGTTAGCAAATTCGGCGGTGAGGTCTTCTCTTCCACCATGTCTATGCTGGTAGGCCTGAAGACCTGCCTCTGTTGATAAGAGTGAATCTGCTTGTTGTTCCACTTTTCGTATACGTATACATCGAGATAGTTCTTCGCTACGACCTCAAGACCGTTAGCCGTGAACTTTTCCCCCGCTATATCGATCTCCACCGTTGTTTCTCGACCTTCCGCGTTCTTCGACAGACAAGCCAGAAAGTGCCGAACCACGAATTCGTACACCTTCGCCTCGTTTCCTATTAACACGAATTAATCGATCCACTTTTCAACTTGGTGCGATTAAACTTAATGAACGCAAACAAAAATGCGACGTACCTTGCAGATTGCCGATATACTTGGTAGGATGAATAGGGGGGTGCGCTTGGTCGCTTTTCTTTCCTTGCCTGGGAGTTATCCCAGACTCCAATAAACCGCGCGCAAAGTTACCCCATGCCTGATTGTCCACTTGCTGTCCTACCAAAGGAGCCAGATTCAATTCTTTCGGGAATATGTTGGTCTCCGTGCGCGGATAACTTATGAGACCTTGAGTATACAGTCTCTCCGCTATCCTCATCGTCTCTTTCGCGTTCAAACGCAACTTGCGCGATCCTTGCTTCTCCAATTCCTAAATCGAGAAATCTTGAGCCTCTTGATACAGAAAAAGTTTGTAACTCGTGCTCATCGGGTAGATTACTCACAATGGTATCCAAGGGTAGGGGTCGCCATTTGCTCTTTGGTTTACACGTAACTTTCTCTACTGTAGCGTCCGGTTGTTCCAAACACATATCCAAAAAGATCTGACATGGCATCTTCTCGAATAGTCTTACTCTGGCCCATCGAAATTCTACGAATATTTCATCACGATCGTCTGTCACTCTGATCTTCCAGTATGGCTCGGACTTGAATCGATCGATGGCTAAGAACCTTTCGACTACAAATCCAAGAGTCGGGAACTGACAGCTCCCGTAACTGATGAGCATATCCCCGAGGGTGTTGGGGAACACTTTCTGCAGTCTCAAAGTTTGAAATCTGGTAAAAGCCGCACCTATCGACGCATGTATCGTTCGTACAGAAGGTTTGGTTAACTACTTGATTACAATCTCGATTAATATAAATTTTAAATAACAGAATCAATACCAATTCTTAAATCTAATTCACTTCTTACATCTACAGCATCACTCATTGCTTTGTCGGGTTCTCCCAAAGTTTGTAGAGCTCTTTCAATAGATTGCTTTGTAATTTCTGAAAATTTTGCCCTGAAACATAAAATGGCACTAGTAACTTGGCAGATATTGTTAGACAAACAAATGGAGTGGGCAATGCATCTCTAATTACCTATAAATACGAATATCTGGCTTGATCGCTTGACAGACCTGTATGATTTCAAAGCCTATATTCTCCCCTTCTCTGTCACAATCTGTCCAAATAATTAATGCATTACAGGACCGTACCTCTCGTTCCAAAGTCTTTTTGATGTTTATGTAATTCTCTTCGGAGCATTGTTTGACTACCGGAGCATCAAATAAACTCAATGGATGACAACCTTGCCACTTGCGATAGGCTCCATTAAATTCAAAACCTAACAAATGGCCAGACACTGATGTCATTACCATTTGGCAGTTTTGTCCCCATAGTTGTACGTTAAAATCAAAGATTTTATTATAGACAGATAAACCTTCTCTCTGTAACGAGTAGACTTATCAAGTAACGTTACTATAAGTGAAACTTTCTTCAAACCTTCATCAATCAAATGTGTAAAATATATATTGTCTACCTTTCTATTGTTACCGCGTGACAGATAGGCAGCAATGTTTTTGGCGGCATCATGTTTCTCAGCAACATTGAGTACTTTCATGACGCGTTTCGAAGAGAATCGTTTTACGAAACAATAAACATTTGTAGGTTTGCTACAGACTGCAAGTGTGCTTCTGATGCTTTCGACTGTCAGATTACACGATATACAATTTACTACATTATACAACTTAAAAAGAGCCATAACATGATTCTTGACGTTAGCGACATTCGATTGCGAAGATTATGCTCAGACTATGGTTTTTGGAGTGCGCTATAATAGAGGCCTGTGGCTTGTGATCTGTTCTTTGTAGCTGCACTGCTGAACTAATGCAATATATTGAATTGAGACAAATATCTCTCACTCTAATACTCACTTATTGCACTAGTTCAGCAGTGCAGAAAGTGCAATCCAAGTTAAAAGTAAAGGCCGGTTTATGATGGTCGTAATCCGTTAATTTATGCAGGAACCGTAAAAAATTGACCAATCACAGTCGATTATTCTTTTATAATTCGACTATGATTGGTCAATTTTTTACGGTTCCGGCATAAAGCCAGCGGTACACAATGCTTGTTTTCATGCTGGATTGCTTGCTGGATAGAAATATTCTATTCTGATTGGTCCGTCTTCAGAAATGCACTTGTGTGCAGGAGCCATAAGGATCCAGATAGTATATATTTCAGTGCATAAACTATAGATAGTGAATAAAATTTTCCTCAAAAAGAACGTTTTGGAATGTAATCTAGGACTATGGATTGGATTGAAATTTGATCAATCAGAACTAAACTTGTAATTAGTTTTCTTTATCCTGCTTAGTTAAATTTCAGTACAATCTCTAAGGGCTATCGCACACATAAAATTGACATAACTGCATATGCATAGCATAAGACCGTATGTACCAATGAGCATCGAGTATTAAGTCGCCATATTGGTGTTCGATGCTTAATATTCGATGCTCATTGGTCCATACGATCTTATGCTATGCATATGCAGTTATGTCAATTTGTGTGCGATAGCCCTAATGGCTCCTGAACACAGGACGCGGTAATGCTTGCCGCGCGGCGGAAGTTCGCGCGACAGCCAATCAATATGCTGCTTTGCGTAATAACCTTCTAGCTCTTACGGAAAAACAATATATTGATTGGTTGTCGCGCGGACTTCCGCCGCACGGCAAGCATTACCGCGTCCTGTATGCAGGAGCCATAATGCCGTAGCCTGATATGAGCTTTATGGTGTTAGGGTGCGTTCCCACTTAACGAGTCACGCGTCGCATCGTCCGAATTAAGCCAATCAAATCGTCTCATTTTATTGTGTAACTTTACGTCGAAAAAAATGGGACGATTTGATTGGCTTAACTCGGACGACGCGACGCATGACGCGCTAAGTGGGAACTCAGCCTTATGGCTACTACACACAGGACGCGGTAATGTTTGCCGCGCGGAGGAAGTTCGCGCGACAGCCAATCAATATGCTGTATTCCGTAATAACCTTGTAGCTCTTACGGAAAAACAACATATTGATTGGCTGTCGCGCGGACTTCCACCGCGCGGCAAGCATTACCTGTGTGCAAGAGCCATTAGATATTACATGTTGCTAGTGATTTTTACGTTTCGCAAGTTTTAGAACGTGCGAGTGCGAAACAGAAAGTATACTGGGAAAGTAGCAGTAGACGTTTTTCGATATTTTACACAATAATTTTCGACTCGATGTATTTTTATTCGAGCAGACGTGAGTATCCAGACATTGAACGAAAGTGATATCGTTATATGCTAGTGAGAGAGACGATTGTGTTCATCGTGAAACGACAACGCGTGTGTCGAAGTAACACAATTTCTATTTAGTAACTGTACAGACGTACAGTTCTCCTACGAAATATTCTGATAATTTTCAAGAAACATATCTCCACTATCAAGCTACTGTTTCATAACTACTGATATAATTGTACGGAATTTGCACACATTATCTTCTACACGCTTAAATGTTCAACGTTTTATCACAGGTGACTGTCATTTTTTGTAACAAATATGTCAATGTAAATGCGCAATTACGTGTTGCTCGATAAAGTGTACCGTTCCGAACAATGGTTTCACGTCAAATATTATATTCTTATGTGACATTGACACGAAACATTTCTTTTGCATTATTGTGATAAATAATGTTTGTATATTTTCTCTTTATATATTTGTTTGTGTCTCTCTCTCTCTCCCTCCCTCTCCCTCTCTGTTTCACAGCCAAGCTATGAGCATATCTGTTAAACTGTCACTAAAAAACTTTTGTTTTCAGTGATAGAAAATCGTTTCTGACTCCTTCACTGACACAAATAGTCTCAATACCAAATATCATGACGGAGGACATGTTAGGCGCGGATATCTGCAGAGTCTGTCGGTCAGAGGGCTTGGCAGACAGACCATTGTTTCATCCCTGCATCTGCACAGGCAGTATAAAATGGATACATCAAGAGTGTCTGGTGCAGTGGATGAGATACTCACGCAAGGAATACTGTGAACTCTGTGGTCATCGCTTCTCATTTACACCTATATATAGTCCAGACATGCCACGGCGTTTGCCACTAAGAGATGTTATAGGTGGTCTATTCTCAAGCATTCTCACTGCCGTCAAGTATTGGTTACATTACACATTAGTGGCAATTGCTTGGCTGGGAGTTGTTCCTCTAACTGCGTATCGTACATACAGAGCCTTGTTCAGTGGTCCACTGGATTTAGTGCGGGTAAGATACTTGGCTTTAATACAGTCTTTGGATCCAATGACAAACTCATTGATAATATTTATGTTTGCAGATAATGTCGTTACCAATGGATATGCTCTCCACGGAAAATATCTCTTCAGATGTATTTCATGGCTGTTTTGTAGTCACTTGCACCTTATTTGCGTTTATCGGTCTGGTATGGTTGAGAGAACAGATCCTACATGCGGGCGGGCCCGATTGGCTCGAGAGAGACAACGTGCAGATACCACTGGTTGACAATCCACCGGCGGGGGAGGCGAACGCACAGCAGCCGCAACAGGCCCAAGAGGAGCGCGCTATGCCACAGCAAGCTCAAGACAACAACAATGTTCCACCTTTCGTTGATGATCCACCTATCCCGCAAGAGGGAGAACTACGTAACGAAGGTATCTCGCAGCATCATTGTAAATGCATACAATGCACATTTGATAACGCAATTATGATCTTCAATCTGGTAGATCAACGTCCTGCGTACCAAGAGGTAGCGGAAAATATGGCTAATAATCCGCAAATCGGTGAACCAGAGGATTTAGCGCGGAGAGACGCGCAGGCACCGATTCCCGCTCCGCCACCTCTTCCGATCAGAGAAGAACTCGATGCAGATGGCGTGCAAGCGAATGCTGCGGTTGACGAGGGTTGGATGAGAGGACACGTGGTACAGGCGCATGTAGTGGGTCAGGCGCAGGGCGAAGCCGAGGAAGCCAATTGGAATCCCATGGAATGGGATAGACCCGCCGAGGAACTCACATGGGAACGTCTGCTGGGATTGGACGGCTCCCTTGTCTTTCTCGAACATGTCTTCTGGGTTGTGTCTCTAAACACTCTGTTTATCATGGTGAGTACTCGAGAATAAGCGCGTGAATCGATCGAGTATCGAAAAGTAGTCGCAGCTGTTTTTTTTTTTATTTGTCGTCGCAATACTTGTGCAGGTATTCGCCTTCTGTCCCTATCACATCGGTCACTTCGCAATAACGGGATTAGGATTGCAAGAGCACGCGGCGGCGTCGCATTTCGAAGGCCTGGTGACTACGCTTTGCGGTTACTGCGTCATCGGCGTTTGTCTGGTGGTCCTTCATACTCTCGCCGCGCTGCTAGGCTTTCAACGTTCCCAGCGAATTCTGGGACTCTGTTACGTGATCGTCAAGGTCTCCCTGCTCTCCGTCGTGGAGATTGGTGTACTTCCATTAGTTTACGGCTGGTGGCTGGACATTTGCTCGCTAGCAATGTTTGACGCCACGCTCAGAGATCGAGAATCTTCGTTCAGACTCGCTCCCGGCACGTCCATGTTTATCCATTGGCTGGTAGGGACGGTCTACATGTATTACTTCGCAGCGTTTATTCTTCTGTTGCGTGAGGTTCTGCGACCTGGAGTCGTCTGGTTCGTGCGCAACATAAACGATCCCGACTTCTCCCCTATACAAGAGATGATACATCTTCCCATACTGCGACACGTACGACGACTGCTTGCGTCCGCGATTATATTCGACACGGTAATCCTGCTGATGTTATGGCTACCCGTGAAAATTCTTCGATGGGCTTGGCCGGGATTTCTACCCTACACCGTGACCGTGCAAAGCGAAGCTCAGGTGAGCGAGCTCTCATTGGAACTGCTGCTGCTACAAGTGATTCTACCCGCGTTGCTCGAGCAATCGCACACACGCACGTGGCTCAAGGCCCTCGTGAGGGCGTGGTGCCGCGTAGTGGCGTGGATGTTGGATCTGCAGTCGTACCTTCTGCGAGATCAGACGGACGATCCGGAGCCGGCGGTCGTCGAAGAGCCGCAACATCCTGACTTGGGTGCCGCGCATCAAGCGTTGCTGCAACGAGAGGGACCCACGGGATTTCAACCGTACGTCAGACCGCGTTGGTTCCCCGCGCGACTGGTCGGCCTCGTGCTCTGCGTCTGCGTATCCCTCGTGATCGCCAGCCTGGTGGCCATGACGCTACCCGTGTGGCTCGGACGTAGAGTAATGGCGTTATGGATGGTAGGAGCGCCCGCTCCCTCGCCACCTGTGCTACCGCCAACGTTAACCGGATCCGGTGAGTCGATATTGCGTTCTGTTGTTCTCCACGTGCATCTCATTCCCTCCAATCGGTTCCTTGTCTCCGATTTTTGCATTTCCACTTAGTCTATTGTCGTTATTACTGTACTCTGTACAATATTGTACATCTTAGATGGTGGCGAAACTGTAGGACCACTCTCTGGGAGGGTGCACGAGGTATACACGGTAGCTTGCGGCACGTACGTGTGCTGGGCCGCAGCACGAGGCTTGGTGCTAGCCTTCTCCTGGCTACCTCGCGGTCGCAGGGCTATCCTAGACCGAATTAAGCACTGGGCGATCCTAGGCATGAAGGCCTCGGTGGCGTTTGTGCTGTTGGTCGGAGTGATACCGCTCCTGTTCGGTCTTCTTCTGGAGTTGGTGGTGGTAGTACCGTTGCGCGTCCCGCTCGAGCAAAATCCCATCTTGTTTATCTGGCAGGATTGGGCGTTGGGCGTGCTATATACGAAAATAGCGACCGCTGTGACGATGATGGGGCCCGATTGGCGGATACGTCTCGCTATCGAACGCGCCTACAACGACGGCATCAGAGACATGGATCTCAAGTTCGTCGTTACGGAATTAGCCGCGCCGGTCATATGTTGCTTCGGTCTCGCCCTCGCGGTTCCTTACGCCGTGGCCCACGGGATAGTTCCCCTTCTAGTGACCAATCTACAGACTCAGATCCTCATCGCCAGACGCCTGTATCCTTTCCTTCTGCTAGTGAGCCTGGTCTGCGTGGTGATCGGCTTTCAGATACGTCAGTTCAAGAAGCTATACGAGCATATTAAGAACGACAAGTATCTTGTGGGACAGAGACTCGTTAATTACGAACATCGCAATAAATCGCAGCAACATCAGTCGCAGAGATCGAGCTAACGGCGTCATTAGGCATAATATTTGTTACGGTGGAAGGTGAATTATAAGATTAGCTTCGTGTACATTCTTTAACATCTACGATAAAAAAAATGATAATTTATATTTAGTCACACGATTTTATTTTTAATATTATAATTTATCGATGTAAGAGCGATACCAAATAAATCAAAAAAAGACTGTTATCCAAGTGTGTATCGCTTCGATGCTTTGCAGTTCAACATCGTGCGTATTTCGTTGCGATCGCGTTGCGACTTGAACGAATTTGTGCTCTCTATGGCTAGACAGACGTCGATCGAGCTGAGTCTACAAAAAAGCAAGTATGATAAATTCGTCGAGAAACGTTCTCTTATTCATTCATCCCGAATCATCAATGATTCCGAAGTAGTCCAATATTTAATACAAGTTTTTCATAGCGTTACAATCTCAAAGCGGATACAATCTCTTTATTAAAATTCTCAAAATTTTCGATTTTAAGAATTACATTAAAGGAACCAAGGAGACGTGAAAGTATATTTATACCGTTATATGTAAATTCGTCCGAGGTAAAGGCAAAATATAATTTCAATTCGTTCATTTTGGTAGAATTTATAGAAATCTGTATATTTGGCAGGCAATTATTTTGAACATATCAAGTGTTTTGTTGTACAAATTAAAGTGAAATTTCGTGTATATTATTATAAAGTTCTTAGGCTGACCACATTAAGACAGATTTATGTAATATTTATGCACAAGTTTCTCTCTCACACACATCGATATCTTATGACACACAGTATATATAATCGGGTGCATTAATTTCATCGATGCGTCGGCATTTGCAAGATTTTACGTGCAATTTATTAATCTTTCTCGTTATAATAAAGCAATGAAACTCTTACGTAGAGTTATGCCGTCGATTACACACAAGCGAGTAGACAAATGACAAGTATATTACAAGTGTCGATATTAATAGGAAAATGAGTGTGGGTGCGCCAGACAGCATAAATGCATCCGATTATGGTACACATATACATCGTATTTACAATAAATCAATATTTTACAATAAAAGATGCTATATTGTCTGCAATATAAACGCATCTACGTGTCTTGATATTAATTTGTGAAACGATGCGATGATATCGATCAGAGCCAAGCGTGAATCAATTGCGCGCACGCACACACGCACGCACGCACACACACACACACACACACAGCAGCAGACAGACAGAGACTCCACTTGCCAGCCATTTTTACGTGTGTTTACAATAACAAAAATTCGCATGTCTCTCGCTAAAGTATATATCATATTTAACAGCGATTCAGTAAGTACTGCTTCAGATGCTTTATTATCTGCGCGCGTAAAAAAACGAATGTGTATTTGGATTTCATGCTTAAGAAATTAACATATCAATCGTATAAAATAGTATAAAAAGATATTTTTGATCTCTTATCGAATCGGAAGATCACATCGTAAAAACGATATACGCAATGTATATCATTTAAATTAAAAATAATTTAAATTTACAATTGATAAAAGTAGGTTATATATACAAATTTAGTCTCTCAAATGAGACTCTTATGTGCTTCATTCAGTTTTTTAATATACAGTAATGATAAAGAAAGTATCCTCTATATAAAAGCGCTATACGTATACACATGTGTAATACGTTTAAGAAATGAAACGTTACTTCAACGATGTAACTTATAATTCTTTAGTGTGGTAATATAATTGCGAGAGAATAGTTATCCCCCCTTTCTGTATATTCTCAATAATTATAATCTGTGATCCTCCAAATTTGTAGAATTGATATTTTCCAATACAACATATAAATGTGCAATTCCGAGTATATATATGTTATAGAAACAAAAAAAAAAGAATCCTTCATCTTGCAATAAGATTCGTCATATTATATAAACTTATATTACAAATTAGTGCAAAATGTATCCACGAGTAACGAATGGCGATTTTAACTATGCATTTGCAAATGTATTATTATATATTCTACATATGCTAATACATTTATAAACACATTAACTATATATTAGAACTATATTATAAATAATGTATTTTCTGCAAAATTGACACGCCGATACACATTTACGAATGCGTACTTACGAACGTTACTCATTACTCATGAATACACACTTTACACAAACGCCGACGCAAACATATAGTCATTTACCTTGTAAAAAGTACAAAAACAAAAATACATTTACAATTACCGCACCGCCTCGCTATTGTTGAAGGAGGTTTGCTTTTAAGCGAAATTTTTCGCTAATTTTCTCCACTCGTACACGTATCAAAGAAAACATATTGATTTTCTGAAACAGTATTAGCTTGGTTAACAGTTAAGTGGCACGTTAATAATCACATCGGCAATATGCTTTTGTTAATATTGTGAAAACATCATAGCGCTTGATACCTGTGTAACGGGAGGTGTCTTCCATTGGACGGTTACAGTTGGTACTGATGAATCTGTAGAATACTCTACAGTGGCGTGTTTTATATCTTTAAAATTGATCCTCAATTTGATGCCGGTATCACAGAGAATAATATCCATACCGTGTTCTTTTACCTCTGCTACGATAGCCAAAGCGTCAAAACCACCCGCAAGGCCTACCATATACACGAAGAATAGCTCGGTACTTTGTTCTTGCGCTAGCTTTGCACTGTATTTTTTCACGTTACAATTGTTCGCTATCCTGCCGGGAATCAAAGATAAAATTTTAACAAGTCCCCGTGAAATGTTTCACTATACTACCCTTTCCGCTATACTGTCGCACATTATTAATATCTACCTAGCACAAAATCTAGCCGTCCATTTTCTTGGCAAATGTTTGTTCTCGATCGTCGCATAGAGCAAACGATGAACTATGCAATCGGGGTACCTTCGAATGGGTGAGGTGAAGTGCGTGTAAAGTGGCACATTTAATGCGTAATGCTTCAAGTCGTTGATCGAAGAAACGGTAGATGCGCATTTGTATTCCGCACGCTGAAAAGTTAAAATTTTCATCACATTGATAGTACTTTTATGAACCAAATATACCATCATTAGTATTAGAAAAACAAAAAAGTTCAATGAATTCTCTTACTGTCATTGTTTTTGAACACATATTCGTGATAACCATCATAATACGTTGCATGGTATCATTAATTGTGCTAGAATTACATTCTAATAAGCTTTTTTTATAGCGTTGGATACTGGCATGCAAGACTCCAGCTGTCTCGATATCCAAATGGACTCCGTATCTTTGCAATGTCTCGCAAGCTGTTGCAAGACTATGCTTGATCGGATCTCTATGGACTCGTAATAAAGCTGTTTCAGGAATTTTGCTGTACAATTGTGCGGCAACCGTCATATTTGCCAGCAGCATGAATTCTTCTACGAGCCTGAAACGACGCACGCAAATTCGTATGAGAAATAAAAAAAGAAAACCACAAGATCTGACGATGATCCGATCGAGTAATTTCAAGCAACGATGCATATCGATAGAATCGCACCTGTTGCTGTCTCTAGTCTCTTCTAATTGATAGTTAACAGGTATTGGAGTTCCTTGTTCCTGAATGATTGTGGGCTCCATACATATATATAACTTTGGTTGTTCCAAGCTGAGTGCACCGTTATCAAATCGTTTACTTCGCAAAGTAACCGATAATTTAAATAGATTGTTCATCATGTTGGATAATGACAGCGCCGTGTAACTTCCCTTTATGTCCAGAACCTTCTCGGATAAAGCTTCTCTGGGACTATCAATCATAATTTGAGCAGATTCATAGGATATTTGACAACATGACCTTATTATAGTCTTTGCGAAACGATGTTTTATAATTTCAGCATTTGATGTCAGTTCCCAAATTACAGAGAAAGCTAATCTATCTTTGCCAGGCAGCAAGGAACAAATTTGGCACAGCTGTTCCGGTAACATGTGATAAGATGTGTGCGGCAAATAAACAGTAGTAGCTCGTTTAGAAATTTCTTTATCCAACGGTGAGAAGAGTTCCAAATAGTGTGTCACGTCCGATACATGTACTCCAACCTAGAATCCACGAAGTATACGTCGATATTAGCTGATAGAGCGACAACCCAAAAAGAAAAAAAAAGGGAGAAAAGCAGTGAAATTTTTGCTTTATTTACGCTTATTCGTGCGATGATTACCTCGTAGTTGCCATTTTTCAAGATTTTACAAGAAATGGCATCGTCCAAGTCGACAGCTGTGACAGGATCTATCGTGAAAATGCATTCGTTTCTCCAATCCTCTCTGTCCTTCGTATCGGCATCCGTCAAGACATAATCTTCATCGGGAAGTCCCTGTAATAGCTCTTGTCGATACGGCGATACGTCTAAATTGTTTTCCAGCAATATCGCCTCTACTTCTGCATTTAGGTCGCCAGTTTCACCCACTATCCGGAGAACTTGCCTATACAAATGTAAAAACAATCGGAAATGAGAATGAAACAGCGACCAGAATATTGAAAGCTGTGTCGAAAAATTGATTGTGAGATATATTACTCTTCGTGTGCTCGTAAAAGTAGTAGTGACCTACCCTAATGCGTAACTCGGCCGCATCCAACTATTAATGGCGACAAGAAATATCGCATTATCATAAAGATTTGGTTGACTGTGATATAATTTTGGCAACAACTTTGAATATATTCTAATCAATGGTATTCTTGAATCTTTCGGTTTGATTAGCGCATATGGTTTGTGTTTTTGTACATGTTGTGCTAAATATCCAATTACCTTCCTCGCATGTATTTGATCTAATATACAAACAACTGTACCAGTCTTCTGCATTTGTCCATTGACAAGTGGTTGCCAGTTCTCTTCAGAATTTATGCGCGCCACAACTAAATCTCCATCAAAAGCGCGATTTCTATCAATTACACCATTTATTAATAAATCACGCTCTTCGTCCACCATACTTATATAAGCATAATTATTATATCTAGGGTTTACACGAAGAATACCCTCTACATATTGTACATTATCGGATGACTGATTCTTCAAGATCTCTTCCATTTCTAACACAGGTATATGATCTGAAAATATATTTCTTGTAGACTGCCTTGTTTCCTGTGTACTTTTGCTCTTCTTTGCAGCACTATCTCTTATTGTTTCTGCTTTAGTGCAACAGCATCCTTTTTGTGTATTTCTCTCAATCGATTCCTTCATTGCTGTCTTATTCCTCTTACTTTTCTTCACTGATTTGACACAAGTGTCAGCCTAATGGGAAAAGAAAAGAATATCTGTATACACGTATTCAGTACAATTGGAGATCTCGCAGATAGGTATTCTCTAGTAAAAATAATATAAAAAAAGTTTGCACACAACACCAACCTGATTTCTGACTAAATGTTTTTCTTGTATCTGAGATGAACACAAGCAATTAGCCACTGCAACTTTGTCCAATTGCATTTTGACTTTCAATTTTGACTTGCAATTTGAAGGAGCATTCTGCATTTTGTCTAGCACATTCGCTGCATCGTTTTCACAAACTGTAATATCTTTATCCATCAACCTGCATGTATTAAGCGAATCAATTTTTGGGAGACTTGTCATAGTTGACATCATCCTGCTTTCTTTCACTTTTTTCTCCTCATTAGTAGATTCACCTTTGTCTCGCTTAGTACTGTTGTACGTTGCGTTGTTAGCTGTCGATCCGCGATTCAATGAAACCCATGATGTACTTGCATGCAATGGTACCTCGTTAGCTTGCGCAACATCAGTTTCGTATCCTGAGGAATTTGACGCAACTTGCTCCTGAGTTTCACATGCCGCAGTTCCATTAGACTTTGCGCGCTTTCGCTTATCTAGCTTTTGCTTCATATTCGTGGAAATCTTCAGTTTAATCGCGAGTTGCGTGCCAAGTTCCATCAGCACGTTATTTTGGATGATACCTGTGTCATCTGTTATCGAATCCAATATCAATTTCTGTCCATGTCTGCACGATGTAACATCTTGGTGTTTTCCACGAGATCCACGTCGAATTTTCTTCATGGTTTGCTTCAGGTCTCTGGACATGATTGCGGTGAGTGGTCGGTATGGTCTCGCAAAGTTACAGTGTATTCTAATGTAAAACGCGATATCACACTAAGAATAATAAGAGATGAAGAAGAGCTGATTGCGGGCAGATAAAGTTTGTATCTGTTTACGTACGTGCCAAGGATACAACAGAGTATTCCCGCCGTTTTGCTGAAGAATGCTTAGTAAACGTTCAACATTTCAATACATACATACATACATGTGTATATACATACATACATGCATGTGTATATACATACATACATGCATGTACGCAACATACATCATATATACATACATACATATATATATATATATATATACATGCATATACAGGGTGTCCCAGACTTTTCTCCGCATATTCCGTGGGGACGTAGAACGGATTGAGTTGAACATAAAAGTCCCATATCGTTTTGCGATATTTGCAATAAATCTCAAGTTATTGGGCGAGTTTTTTAATTAAAGAATATTGGTGAATAATCACACGCGTGCAGTGGCGCTGTCTGCCGTTGTATCTCATATATTAGGTCAAACTGAACAAAAAAGTCCTCTATCATTTTGCAAATGATCACATAGATTTTTAAATATTAATTAAAGAAAATTTGTGCATTAAGATGCACAATCATGTAAAAATTTTCTTTAATTAATATCTAAAAATGACTAAGTTTACACGACACTTAAAACCGGTTTAGTAATACGTAGTTAGTAAACTCTTGAATCCGATTGGAGTACATTTCTAAATCTAAAAGAATATACCAATCGGAGGCGAGAGTTTACTAAATACGGTTGTACTGCTTTAAGCTGCTGTGTAAACTTATAGCTCCTGCACACAGGACGCGGTAATGCTTGCCGCGCGATAGCCAATGAATATGTTGTTTTTCCGTAAGAGCTAGAAGGTTATTACAGAAAGCAGCATATTGATTGGTTGTCGCGTGAACTTCCGCCGCGCGGCAAGCATTACCGCGTTCTGTGTGCAGGAGCCATATGATTTCTATTGTAGACCCCGCTTTACTGTCCACTGGCTTGGTTTACATCGTGCACTTGATACGCGTACTAAATAGTAACTTTCTATTAGATAATCTTAATATCGTCGATATATATAAACAATAGTATATTAAGCTGGTATAATACTCATTAACAAAACGTATTGTATTGATTGAATGCGTCGCCGTTGATATGCATTGTCGATATTAAAATTATCTAATAGAAAATTACTATTTAGTACGCGTATCAAATGCACGATGTAAACCGGGTGGGACCCGATTGACCACGATTCGATTGGACACGGATTATAATGATTGGTTCGACCTAGTAATTCACTAGATAATCTTTTAATCGGTTGGTTGTGTCCAATCGTACCGTGGTCAATCGGGACGCTCCCATGTAAACCAAGCCACTGCCAATCTCATTGGGTGCTTTCCAATTTCTTAACACAGCTTGACACACACGTATACAAAACCAATTTATCGATCAAATATTATCTAAAATATCTTGTAAGATAATATACAAAATAAATTGGTTTTGTGTAACAAAATGTATGCAACTAGAAAGCACCCTATAGCTTTTCACTAATAGCATGTTCGACTAGCTCTGAGTTAACCCACTCTGGATTGTTCAGCCTACGTTTATTGGTCGAACAAGTACTTATAAGTTTTATGATTGGCTAGTAGAGACTTATGACGTCATTAATAGCTCTCGGAGCGATTTACCTAGGGCCAGTCGAACACGCTATAAATATGATATATTTTCGAGAATCAGCATCCAGCAAGCAAATCAGTACGAAAACAAGCTCGTATGCCATTAGCTTTATTTAAATGTTAAAAATATAAAAAAAGAATAAAAAAGGAAAGCAAACTCGTTTTTAAACAGTTATTTGTTAAAAATAATCCGACGATATGCAACATCTACTGCCTTGAATCCCTAGTCACTGGGTATTTTCAATACACGCATCCTGTCTACATATTCGTGCATCATGACTGTCGATTATTCCCAGAACAAGGTCGTTCGACGCGACGTCATTTGTGACAGTAGAGTTTTTTTAAAACAGACGCTTCGATATGAAAAATGTGCCGGTTTCTCTCTCAACTTTTCTATTTCTTTCATTGATTCACGATGATTGTCTTTGTTTCCAGGATCAATATCAGTGATGTGTATTCTAGCTCCGACAAACAAGCGTTTTTTTCCCTACATTACGCACACAACTGCTGCTGCTCATGTAACGACGATTGTCACATGGATAGACAGCTGATGTGTAAGTAGAAGAGCAAAACGCTTGCACGTCGGGGCTCGAATGCACACTGGTCAGCATATAATGACGATTTTGCCTTAATTTACTTCTCGATTAAGCTTTCGAAAAGCCGAAACGTTTTCGGTGTTATATTTCACTCCGATATTGTGGCAATGCACACAAAACGCTGATTACGTTCCGACATCCACTGCCAGTGTACTAAAAGTCTATAGTATACGTAACATGAACTATAGATTTTTAGTACTGGCAGTGAATATTGAAACGTAAGCGCAGCCGCGAGAGGAGAATTTCAAGTAATCTTTTCATGGCGGTGCGAGCGAGTGGATGTACCTTGGAGCTGTCTAAAACTTGTCAAAGTTTCACCGTTACGAAGTCAACCGCGTCGTTTGTAGTGTGTAAGTAAAATATCAATGAAAATGATTGATCGGCCATCAAGGATAACACTCTAGTCGATTACAACGGCGGATGTACACGACACTAATTAACCTCTTTGATGTTTGCTACCAATGAGTACGCTACTATCCTTTCACCGCGCGCTGTTGACGTTTCGCGAGTCGTTCGAGTACAATCACTTGGCCTTGTTCTTTCTCTCTTCTTTTTCCTTTTATTCCGGAATCTATGACGGAACCTATGACGGAATCTCCGAATAAATCCGCATACGAACAGTAGCACGGGGGGCAGCCGAATACTCCACAATATATATTTTCTTAGACGAGAGGCAGAGCCTTTAACGCGTTTGTCCTGCTACATGATCATTGCGATATTCGTAAGTGTATTACGGCGGAAAACGACCATCTCTTTGAGCATTGTATCCTGTGTACAGTAAAACGCGTAACTTTGCAACATGTGCCTTCACGATTTGCGGCTAATCTCACTGTGCTCGCAGGAAAAGAAAAATGCAGTGTTGACATCTGAAGTGATGTGATTCTCTGTTTGAAGTGATAAGATCAAAGATAGGATCAACATCCGTCTCCTTTCGCATACTTTCTCTCTTTCTCAACCTCACCCATTATATAGAAGCGACAAAACGTACGTCGACATACACACACATACGATTCATGTCAAAAAGTTTCCGCAATTCTTCGACAACAGGAACGAGTTAATATCGAGAAACACTAATTCTATCGAATGTATAATCTAGGAAACGTCTTGCTTATCATTTTAATGTGCTTATCGTTTATTTGCAATGCTAATCATTTACGCAACTATCGCGTGCAATCATGCACGCTTCACTATTTTAACAGCGTAGAAACACGCGCACCAAAAAAGAGACCTTAAGTTTCACTCGGTTTCTTATCGCTTACAGATAGATAGTATTCGAAGGTCGCTCCGTGAAATCTACTACATTCTATATTTAGAATTTTGTAAATTCCTTACATTATATATACGCGCATCTTTCTTTACAAAGGAATAATAATTACTAAGAATAAATACTAAGATTCTATTTAACGCCCATTGTGTCTTTTTGTTTCGCCGCGATTTTCCATTTATTATGTTTATTACGTATAACACGTAACGAACTTGTGTGTGCCTGCTGATGACGTAGCCGATGACGAAAAGAACCTGTATGAGAAATCATGCGTATGCGTTGTATGATAATTCGTTCGGTAAAACTATACTGTGACACAAGATACGAACAATGTTTAATGCATCGTATTATCGATACATTAAATTTCAATGAGTATATATTTATGTTCAATCTTCAGCGGCGAGTCTATGTTCTCCTTCTGTCCCTCCTTCCTTTCTTCTCTTTCTACCTACCTACTTCCTACTTCTACTTACCTACCTATCTACCTCTCTCCCTCTCCAATTTAAAATTACACGTTACAAGAAAAAAAACAAACTTTACAGATTTACAAATGATGAAATAATTATATATAATTTATTACCATTCAGCTATACATAAACAATAGCCAAGAAGGGGACTTGGTTTACAAAAGCAGCTAATTAACATTCCAGAACATCCATTCTTCCATCCATTTTCCATTCTTTAATATAACTACCTCACATCCTTATCTCATCCACAAATTTACTTCTATGCTCTTATTTCTAATTTCTAAAACTCTCTTCCATTATTCCTTTATTACCTTATTACTATTGCTCTCATCCCTATTACTAGTATCACTCTTTTATTACTAAATTCCTTATTTTATTATTATTATTATTATTATTATTATATATTTACATTTCCGCCATAAAACTTCCCCCTATCTTTCTATCTTTCTTTTTCTCCTCTATCCTTCTCCTATTCTTTCCCTTTCCCCCTTTCTTTTTCTCTTTCTTTTTCCTTAATCCTACTCTCCCTTTCCTTCCATATTCTTTTTAAAACTTTCCCCTTAGTTTCATCGATCTCATCATTCCATATCCTTTCTTTTCCCCTACCTTCCAGTCTATCCATCTTCACAAACCATCTCTTTCCCACCTCACACGTATACATATAATGTTTCATCTCATCTTGCTCCCTACCACACATTAAGCATATTCTCTCTTCCTCTTCTAGCCAATACTTATTTTTTAACTCTAAATTACCACACCTTAGCTTAATAAGCGCCCTCACCTCTTCCCCCGCCTTTGTCCCCATCCTCATCAAACTGCTCTTTTCTAAATACTTATGTCCCTCCCCTATTTTCCTTATCTCTTTATATCTTTCATTATATTTAGCCTCCCTTATCTTATTCTCTATCCAATGTTTTTGCACATCTCTTTCTCTTTTCATTATCTCTCCTTCCATATCCCAACCTCCTTTCATTCCTTCTTTAACTCTTTCTAAACCCCAACTATTCCTATTATAATATCTTTCCCTTTCCTTCCCATATAAATCTTTCCACCCACTTTCCTCCTTCTCTCCCCAACACTTTTTTATTAATCTCTCTTTGCTACTGTTCCTGATCTTTTCTTCATATCTTTTCGCCCTTATACCCCACCCTATTTTCAGTTTTTCCATCCCTAGCTCATACATAATAATATACCTCAGTGTGCAAAAATCCAATCTAAATATCCATCTTACGTAGTCCATCATGACTCTTTCTAATTTCTCCTTTTCCTCCCATCCCCATACTTCTACTCCGTACGTCATCACACTTTGTATCAAATATCTAAATAATGTCCATCTCCTTATAAAATCATCTCTACATATTCTTTCTCCCAAACCCCACACCTTATTCAAAGCTACCCTACCTTTCTTATACAAATCATTTATATGCGCCTTATAATTCCCTGCCTGATTAAAAGTGAATCCTAAGTACTTAAACTTCTTTACCTCTTCTATATGTCTATCTTTCCATTTCCATTTTTCCTTTCCATCCCTACTTTTCCTATTAAACACCACAATTTTCGTTTTATCCGTAGACAACTCTAGATTTCTTTCCTTTAGAAATTTCTTTAACGTGTCCATCATATCTATCATCGCTACTCTGTTCTTTGCTAGCAGCACTATGTCATCCGCATACGCAATATTCCATATTCTATCTTTACCTAATTCTATTCCCCCTATACCTCTCTTCTCTAACATCTTATCTAAGTCCGCAATATATATACTAAATAATAACGGGCTCAACGCACACCCTTGCCTTACTCCTTTTTTAGTCCAGAAACTGTCCGTGAATCCATTCCTTGTTTTCACCGTCATCTTTGTCTCTTCATATATCCTCTTCAACCTTTCTATCATCCTTTGATTTAATCCTTTGCTTTCCATTATTTTCCATAACTTCTCTCTATTAACATTGTCAAAGGCTGCTTTAATGTCCACAAACAAAGCATATAACCTCTCCTTTCCTCTTCCCTCTCCTTTCCTTTGTACCAAATGATTCAACACAAAAATATTATCTATCGTCGATCTTCCTTTCCTAAAACCCGCTTGACTCTCTGGCAGTATCCTTTTCTCTTCCACCTCCTTCTCTAGTCTTTTCCTTAATACTTCAGCGTATATCTTATATGCAGTACACAACAGCGATATCCCTCTATAATTTCTCACATCCTCTATATCTCCTTTCTTATATAACGGCATCACAATGCTTGTCCTTCAATCCTTTGGTATGTCCCCTTCCTCCCATATCTGCCTCATCAATTCCACTAGACTTTTCTTCACCCCTTCCCCTGCATACATCCATGCCTCCATGGGAACTCCATCCTTTCCATATGCCTTCCTCTTTTTCATTTTCCTCACCGCATCCCCTATTTCCCTTTCCTCCAATTCATCTTCTTTTCCTTCTTGCCTTTCCCTCTTCTTCAACCCTTCCTCCTTTTCCTCTTCACCATCTAACAACCCTTTAAAATAGCTTCTCCATTCCCCCTCTCCAATTTTATTCTCCAACTCTCTTCTCTTTTTCCTCTTCCTATTTATATATCTCCATATTTCCATTTCTTTTCTCAACATCCTCAGTTCGTCCTCTTCTTTCCTCCTTCTCTCCCTCTGCTTCCTCTCTTGCATTTCTTTCATCCTCTTCTTCTCCTTTATATACTGCTCCCTCCCTATTTTCCCGTTCCTCCACTTTTTATAACACCTCTTTACCTCTCTCTTCATTCTTTTACATTCATTATCCCACCAATCCTTCTCCCCCAATTTCCTCCTTCTTATTTTCACCTTTTTGCTCACCATCGCTCCTAGTATCTTCTCCTTAATTCCTTCCCATTTCTTCTCCACTGTATTTTGACCTTCTTCCCACACGAAGTCCTCTGTTTCCTCCTTATATTTCTCCCTATCCTCTTCTTCCCATCTTATAAATTCCTTCTCCCCTCCTCCTTCCTTGTTCTCTTCCTCTCTTCTTTCAGTTGATCTTCCTTCTTCATCCTCTTCCTCTATTCTTAATTCTAGTGGCATATGATCCGACTCTATTCTACCTCCAATTACAAAGTCTTTTGTCTTACAATACATTTCCTCACTTACAATTGTATAATCTATCACTGTATTACCTCTGGCGCCCACATATATAAACTCCCCTTCCCAATCCCCTTTATAATCTCCATTTAATACATACCATCCTTTTTCCAGCACCCATTCTATTAATCTCCTCCCATCCTTTCCTATATTTTTGTCTTCTGTTGTCTATTACTTCTTCTACCTTCTCCTTCCCTCTCCACTTCATTATTCTTTAACTCTTCTATCCTAATATTATAAAATCCCCTCCTATTATTATTTTCCCATTTTTTCTATCCTCCACCATCCTATTCAAGCTCTCTTCTAACCTTTTCCATCCTTCCTTATTGTATATGGATATAACTACTAACGCATCTCCTTTCTCCTTTATTTCTGACAATTATACCCTCCTCCCTTTTTTTAATTAACTTCCCTTCCTTCTCCCCCCAACCTTTCTTTATTCCTATAATCATCCCTCCCATCGCCCTACCTTTCTTTTTCTCTCTCACTGCCTTACTATATTCCCACTGATGTGACACTGGTAGCCTTTCTCTTATCCTTTCCCACCCTTTTTCATCCACCTATGTCTCCATTAAGCTCACAAAATCATGCTTCCCTATATACTCCCAAAATTCCCTGTCCTTATTACCAATTCCTGCACAGTTCCAAAACATAACCTTCCTTTCCTTTCCATCTCCTTCCTCTTTTGCCCTGTCTTTATCTTCTCCTTTATCACTCCTCCCCTCCTTTTTCCTTTTCTCATCTCTTATCTCCTCTCCTTCTTGGCTTGTTAAAAATCCTCCTTTTCTTGCCTTCCCTCTCCTCTCTTCCCCCTTATCCCCTCCCCTATTTTCTCTCCCCTTCCCTCTCTCTCGACCATCTCCTCCCAGTTCATCCATTTCTCATTAATCCTTACCTAACCAAATCCTACCTTTACCTCCATACCTTTCCTTCTCTTCTCTCTTGCCCAGACTCCTATTCTTTCTTGTCTTTTCTTATCTTCCTATCTTGAGCTTAAATCATGCTCAATGAATACATTCCCACCTCTCAATTTACTTTTCTTTCCCATTATTTCTCTTTTCTTTTCTTCATTTTCCATTTTTGCTAAATATATCCTCCACTCCACCTACCACTCATTACTTTACACTCTACATCTAATTTTTCTTTCAAAAATTTTTCTATTTCCTCTCTACTCTCTTTTCCTTCTTCTCTTCTCCCCCATCCCTTTATAGCTATGTTACATCTTCTTTCTTCCCTATCCTTATCTACTACTATTCTTTTTAACTTCTCTACCTCTCTCCCACTAAATCCATCAGAGCTTCTCGTTACACTTGAGCCTCCATATCTACTGCTCACTCTACTACCACTATATCTGCTTCCTCTTTCCTCTGCTCCCTTCCCTACCTCCTCTCCCTCGCTATCCTTTCCCCCATCCCAATGCCACCCCTTATCCAACCTTTCTGTTAAATTCTCTATTTTATCTTCTATCTCCTCCCTCCATGCATCCCACCTCTTCTCCCACAGCTCTCTATACTCCATCCTTTCCTCTTGTAATTTCTTAATTTCTTTTTTAACCTATTCATTCATCATTATCCTTTCTTCCTGTAATTTCTTTAAATCCTTCTTTACCTGCTCTCCCACTTCCTTCTTAACCTGTACCATTGCCTCCCTCTTCCACATCTCCATTTGATCACTTTCCTTTCCTTCTATTTCTTTATCCTCCTTACTCGTTTCTTTAAACACCATTCTTTTTCCATTTCCTTTCTCCTCTGACCTTCCTCTATTTTTCCTCTCACCCCCTTCCCCCCACCACTTCTTACTCCTGCAGCCATAACCTCCAAAACTCCCAACCTTTATCTTGCCTCAAACTTCATTTCTCCTCCACACCACTTATCACCTCCACTTACCCACCCACAATACTGCTTTCCCTACCTAATTTCCTTTTCTTTACCTTACCAGCTATCCTTCTATATTATTTACGCACGCACTTATCTAACTCTTATCCTACGCACATTCGCTCTCATGCACGCCACCTAACCAAGTCCCAATGATGAAATAATTAATATTATTCATAAATAATGTTTTTATGTGAAAATTTGCTTAAATACATTTTTGTGAGCAATGATGTATTCTCGAATTATGTATGTGGAACGTACGTAGGTACGTGAGATAGACGGGGAGAGAGAGAAAGAGTGGGGGAGAATGTGCGGCATAAAAAGATAATTAAAAAATCGTAAAATCATACGATATCTCGCGATATCGTAAGACGTGGTGCTACATATTATCGCGGTATTATATTGAAAGCTCAGTTGATAACCGGATGAAACGAGAGAAAGAACGTTAACGTCTCATTGAACACACGTATTGAATTTAACACAGATTTACAGTATGTAACACTATATATTACAAATAATAAATAATTTGTCTCGTAAAAATTCTATATAAGTCCAGTTGCGAAAATATTGTCAAGAGGTTGATAATCATCTATTTGAATTATTCTACATGATTTATCTACTTGAATTATAACACATTTTTAATTACTACTTGAATTGTAAACAAATTTCAACGAGATGTGGAGTATGGATTCATGTGTGTGCGTGTGTTGCGACATTCTATCGAGACTTGTAATGGATTGAAATCTTCCATATGTAATATTCTGTGTTTCTTAGTCCATTCAACGATATGTAGAAAAAAGTGATCTAACAAGTCATTGATCTAAGATGCATAACATGATATATAGTTGCATAATATTATGCAAAAAATAACAGGAACAAAGTAAATCAATAATTTGTGCGTAATGAAAAATGAGGATGTTGCGATACTAGGGAATTAAGAGTAAAATTATTGGAACCAACAGTTTTGTTTCTCATCCAGCAATACAAGTCTGATATTTATTTATTCCTTTGTTGACAGGCATTTGGAAAAGATGGCAGCAAAGGCGATTCGAGAGGCAACTGGAAAAGACTTAATCAATCGCAAACTTCCTCCTGGAACAAAAGCAGCAAAATGCAGATTTGCATCTATTACGGAAAATACAAATTGGACCGATATCGCCAACGAACATCCCTGGCTCAAGATAGAAAAATTGGTCGTTAAACCGGATCAATTGATTAAGCGCAGGGGAAAACTCGGATTGATCAAGGTGAATGCAGATTTATCTACAGTGCAGGAGTGGATTGGACAACACATGAACAAGGACCAACGTGTTGGCAAGGCGACTGGAAAATTAAAAACATTTATAATCGAGCCGTTCATACCGCATAAACCGGTAAGATTTCTGTATATTATTGTTTTTTATATATATAAACATACATATATGTATACATATATATTTTTTAAGTTACCTTTTTCGTTCTATCTTCTTCCTTTTATCATATATTTGTAAAAACCAACGTATTCTTAAATTGAAGGAAACTGAAAAGAAGAGAACATTGTCAGTTAATTAATAAGTTAAGAAATTGAGAAAGCAGTACAACATTCTTTTTACAAAAATATTTAATAACGCGCGATTATGTGTATGATTATAACGCGCATCATATATGTTTGCATTGCAGGAAGAAGAAGCTTACATCTGTATCTATTCTCATCGTAGAGCCGATACAATATTATTTCATCACCAAGGAGGCATTGACATCGGGGATGTAGATGCTAAGGCTTTGAAATTAGACATACCGGTTGGTGGCGAGCTACCCGATCGATCCACATTGATCGATAAGCTTCTTACAAATGTGATGGATGACAAAAAAGTGTAATGACATTTAGTCATCGTAGATGTTTTGTTATATGCTTTCGTTTAGTTATCTCCTCTTTTTACCTGTTTTCTTTTTAATTACAGGATGATTGCCGAATTCGTAGAATCTCTCTATAAGCTTTACGTTAATTTATATTTTACATATTTGGAGATTAATCCGCTGGTGGTAACAGATACCGCAATTTATATACTCGATCTCGCGGCCAAGTTGGATACTACGGCGGATTTCGTATGTAGACCCGACTGGGGGGAAATCGACTATCCACCGCCGTTTGGGAGAGACGCTTACCCGGAGGAAGCTTATATTGCTGATTTGGATGCCAAATCCGGCGCCAGTCTGAAGTTGACGATCCTCAATCCAAACGGTCGTATATGGACGATGGTTGCTGGTGGTGGTAAGTAGACACATAGTAAGACGCAGATAAAGAATGATTTTCATCTTGATATTTTTAACGGCATCCGCTTTTGTAGCTGAATAACGTTTTAGATGGAATTTTACAGGTGCATCCGTGATATATTCGGATACAATTTGTGACTTGGGTGCAGCCGATGAGTTGGCCAATTATGGCGAGTACTCTGGCGCACCTAGCGAGCAACAGACTTACGAATACGCAAAAACGATATTGAGTCTAATGACAAAAGAGAAGCGCACCGATGGGAAAGTGCTCATTGTAGGAGGAGGAATCGCCAACTTTACCAATGTAGCTGCGACATTCAAAGGCATCGTCAAGGCCCTTCAGGAATACCAGCCCAAATTGGTGGAGTACAATATAAAAATTTTTGTAAGAAGAGCCGGACCTAATTATCAAGAGGGTTTAAGGTATAACCAGAAGAAAGAATCTGAGAAAGAATCATCTTTGTAAAATATCTGCAAAGTATATATATACATATATATGTAGTACGGAAAGAGAAAATATTATAAAATTATGTATCCAACAGGATAATACGGGAAGTTGGTAGACGCCTAGGGATTCCCGTTCACGTGTTCGGCCCCGAGACACACATGACGGCCATATGCGCTATGGCACTAGGGAAGAAACCAATTCCCGATCCAGAAGCTCAAGAATTCTCAACCGCCAACTTTTTATTACCTTCGGGCCAAGATATCGGACCGTTGTCTTCGTCGTCCAAGAGTAATTCACATTCGCCGTTGGAGCAGCCTAAACTGAAGACCGTCGAAGTGGATTCGGCCGGCGACAGACAACTTTTTAACGATAAGACGAAATCAATCATTTGGGGTATGCAAACGAGAGCTGTACAGAGTATGTTGGATTTTGACTTTGTTTGCCGAAGATCCGAACCGTCCGTCGCCGCTGTCGTTTATCCTTTTACCGGCGATCACAAACAGAAGTTTTATTGGGGTCACAAAGAGGTGGGTTTTTCTAATGGAGAACATAGTGGGGAATATAATAATATATGTGAGAAGGAGAGAAAAGGTCGACACCTCGTAAAACTTTCGTCGACAATAATATATGTTACAATATTGAAATATTATAGAATATTGATTCTCAAAGTGGCCCACACAATATAGCAGTAAAATGTTCTGTCTTCTTTTATAAATAGGTTCTCATTCCTGTTTACAAACAAATGAAAGATGCTATGGCCAAGCATAAGGACGCTGATGTAATGGTCACGTTCGCCTCTCTAAGATCCGCTTACGAAAGCACCATGGAAACGCTGCAATTTCCCCAAATCAGAACGATTGCTATAATCGCGGAAGGTATACCCGAAAATATGACCAGAAAACTGATTTTAACAGCGCAACAAAAGAATGTGACCATCGTCGGGCCGGCGACTGTGGGAGGTGTGAAGCCAGGTTGTTTCAAGATCGGCAACACCGGCGGGATGATGGACAATATCCTTCATAGCAAATTGTACAGGCCCGGCAGGTACATAGTGTCGTGTGAAGACGTAAAAAAAAAAATGTAAAATATGCAAAGGACTAACGCGCAGAACTAACGAGGAATATCATTTTCAGTGTCGCCTATGTTTCTCGATCCGGTGGCATGTCGAACGAGTTGAATAACATAATCTCAAAAGCTTCCAACGGCGTACTGGAGGGTGTCGCTATCGGTGGGGACCGTTATCCGGGAACCACCTTTATGGATCATATAATGCGATATCAAAACGATCCGGACGCGAAGCTGATAGTACTGCTCGGAGAAGTCGGTGGCGTCGAGGAGTATGAAGTTTGCGAAGCACTGAAAACTGGCTGGATCACCAAGCCATTGGTAGCTTGGTGCATCGGCACTTGTGCCAGTATGTTCAGTTCCGAAGTACAATTTGGCCACGCTGGCTCCATCGCGCACACCAATCTCGAGACGGCTTCCGCGAAGAACGCGGCGTTGAAGGCTGCCGGCGCGCACGTACCGGACAGCTTTGACAATCTCGGTGATCTCATACAAACCGTTTACGAGCAGCTGGTCAAGGATGGCACGATAGTGCCGGAACCCGAAGTTCCACCGCCGACAGTGCCGATGGATTACAACTGGGCTAGAGTAAGTTCTTCAACATATCTTTCTCGTTCATTAGCTCTTGTTTGTCGTGCTGAACCAAGTTTAGCACAAGCGAAACGACTAATATATCGATATCAACAGGAGCTTGGTTTGATACGTAAGCCAGCGTCATTTATGACGTCGATTTGCGACGAACGCGGACAGGAATTATTGTACGCCGGTATGCCAGTGACGGAAGTACTGAAGCAGAACGTGGGCATCGGTGGCGTCGTCTCGCTTCTCTGGTTTCAGCGCTGCTTGCCACCAACTTATTGCAAGTTCCTCGAAATGTCGCTCATGTTAACGGCTGATCACGGCCCAGCTGTTTCCGGAGCTCACAATACCATCGTTTGCGCGCGTGCAGGCAAAGATTTGGTTAGTTCTCTCGTCTCGGGATTGCTCACCATCGTAAGTAAACTCTCTAATAACGGAAGCTATTATTATTGCGTGCGCGAGCTGATGTGCGACTCGCATGTCTCCATGATTATGCTTATTGTCAGAAAATGCTTGTTGTGAACGCAGGGCGATCGTTTCGGCGGTGCCTTGGACGGCGCGGCTCGCATGTTCTCCGAGGCATACGACGCCGGTCTACATCCGCAAGAGTTCGTAAATAATACACGTAAGAAGGGCAGGTTAATCATGGGCATCGGCCACCGTGTAAAGTCCATCAATAATCCGGACATGCGTGTCAAGCTCATCAAGGAGTATGTGTTGGAGAATTTCCCGGCGAAACCTCTGGTCGAATACGCATTGGAAGTTGAGAAAATCACGACCAGCAAGAAACCAAATCTAATTCTCAATGTGGATGGTATTATAGCCTGTGCTTTCGTCGATATGCTGCGAAATAGTGGTACCTTTACGAGAGAAGAAGCACAGGAATATATTGAGATAGGTGCCATAAATAGCTTGTTTGTTCTTGGTCGAAGCATCGGATTTATTGGTAAGCACGCAGAGCTGCATTTACATATATTATTACGTCACATTGACTTTTTTCTATTTCTCTCTCTCTCTCTCTTTTAGGTCACTATATGGATCAGAAGAGATTAAAACAAGGTCTTTACCGTCATCCATGGGACGATATTTCTTACGTGTTACCCGAGCAATATAATTAAAGATAAACGCGCGCGAGCGAAGAAACAGTGACATTGATATTGTCGATATATTGTCAATCTTGTACACACGGCGCCATTGATGCCATTCCCTGGATCGAGAGTCTCGCACGACTTTCGACCTTTATACATAATGCTTGAGATTGAAAATCACACAAATAACTTTGGTCACAATAGTAGAGTTATACAATGGCTTTAATTGTAATGATTTTAACCTTATTTGTACACGCGTGAGATCGAAGATTGTATAACCATCAATCTAGGCTATATCGCTGGGGAAACTCATGTCGTTGAGCGTATATACTCGCGCAATGCACGTACTAGTGGACAAAGTCCGCTGTACTTTCATTTCTCAGAGAAGATATTTATGTATCAATATGATATTTTAACCAATGTAATAATCGGGAAGTATTATTAGAGGGAGTTTCATAAATCGGACGATTGCAAAGATATTTTCAACGATTTTCCAATATATCGTGTAAACTGATCGCGTAAATTTGAAACAATTCTACTTGAAAAGGCTATCAAACACATTCCATAGCGTGCATTTTTGCTGGATTAGCAGAAAGTAGCGGATGGCGATCGTCTGATATTTGCTTGGAAACTAATCACAGACAATTTTTTTTTTTAATTAAAACTCGGTGGTTAAGTTTGGTAGAAACGTATCACAATGTTATTTTGTGCACAACTCTGAAATACAACTTGCAAAGAGAAAGTAGACCCTTTGCTACATATTAAAAAAGAATATATAATATTTATGAGAACGTTGCTCTCTCTAAAGTTTCTTTCTCTCTCTCGTGTTTAGCAACACCGTGTATCTACATACATTGCACACTTGCCATACGTGTGTTTCTAGAAAAGTGAAAATTGGTAAGATACACTTGTTACATGTCACTACAAGCTCATGTGAGCGCAATCTCAGACTCTCAAAAATGAAGCACTGCAAGTGGAAATAAAAGTATCAAAATTGTAATGTTGTGTCGAACTCAAAATTTTTATAGGTTGGGTTCAAATTCATATGCTTGAATCATTAACCTAGCTGTACTATCCTTTCAACTAGATCATTAGTTGTTTCTTTCAGCAAAATAAAAAAAAAAATCCGTTCTTTTTCATTCATAACGACAGTCAATGAGCCGACAATGATAAAATGATAGTGTGAGAATCGATTATAAAATGCACATTTCTCCGCGACTGTCATGGTGTAATGCGTTCGCTCGCCATTGACATAAATGACACGATTGGAGAGATGTTTGCGATACTCAAGATATCATGAGCATTCCTCGCGTTCGTCTCATCATCGGCTGTGTATGTCACATAAACAGAAACTTGTTATGATACGCGCAAAAAAAAAGCTGCTTTTTGTAGCTGAACTGGTGCACACTTTCTGAGGTTAAAAAGAACCAGGTATATAACTGACTTGATGTAAAAAAAGAGAGAGAAAGAGAGAATTGATGCAAGCTAGTGCAGTCAGATGAGCTACAAAGAACAGACCAAAGATCGCTTTCACTGCAGTATTGCCGAGGACTAATTGAGAGATAAGCTCTCGAGTGTTTATTATATTTCGCAGCTATCTCCTATTAGTCATTATCCGTAACAATGGCGTGGACGAACTATCAATGTGTATTAGCTATACTACAAGTGGTCACAGGCTCATTTAATACCCTATCAGTTAAGTAAGTGCAATTATTATTAGTCTAAAGGAAAAAAAAGAAACAGATTCGGCAGAGAAAAATTAACGAGTCGCGATTATCAGTTTGGTAAATTTTTAGAATACGGCCCTCTCGCCACGAATTCCGATGAAATTACGTTCGTTTTTTGATGCGTAAAACTAAACTAGAAGAATTCACAATTGTTGGACAATTGTTGGACAATGAAGCAAGAGTGACTAATTGTCAAAAAGCGAGATTTCTTGAGGTTAGAAAATCTGTCACATGCATAGTGTATACAGTCGCTTAAGCATGCGCGTTAATAGAAGTCGCGCGCGATACTTGAAATTTGCGCAATTATGCAGACGAGTATGAAATTTTCATCGGAGTCTGTAGCGGGTTATGTTTTAAACATTTACCACATCGCACAAACAGTTTCGCAAATGCTGGAATTTCACCTGAAATTGATTTAGATTCGCAGACCAACAAAAAGTGCTTGACGAAAATGGACAACCTAGACTCTTCAATCATCCTTTCATGCAATCGTCGTTTATGTTCTTTGGAGAATTTCTATGTTTTTTAGCGTTCAAGTTTCTTTATTATTACTACAATCGACGAAGTGTAGGTATTTCACTTGCCCCTTTTATTGAAAGAGCCATACTGTACTGCATACTGTATTGATTTGTTCACAGGATGGTTCTGCGGATAATAATGTGCTCACTAAGGGTACGAGAGTTTTCAATCCCTTCATCTTACTAATACCTGCTATGTGTGACATGTTTGCAACATCCATAATGTACATTGGTCTGAATATGACTTATGCAAGCAGCTTCCAAATGTTGCGTGGAGCAGTGATTATCTTCACCGGAATATTTTCTGTTGCGTTTCTTCATAGGAGATTAGGAGCATGGGAATGGACGGGTATCGTTTTTATCATAGGAGGTTTAGCATGTGTCGGTGTCAGCGATATGTTAGTAACGGGCACCACCGTTACAGATACGAACTCTATACTTACTGGAGACTTGCTCATTATATTTGCTCAGGTATTTCATCCTACTACAATGCCCTACTAGCAATTAGTCTGTTTTAATCGTACATAACAATGCAGGTGATAACAGCTGCTCAGATGGTTGTGGAGGAAAAATATGTAGGAGGACTGGACATACCTGCACTACAAGCTGTTGGATGGGAAGGTTAGTAAATTTTAGACTTGAATTAAGATTTTTGCTTCCAATCTACACACTTAAATTTTAAGGAATGTACAATTCTGCAAGAGGTGTGATCCTATGTACATATTCCTTTCTCTTACAGGCATCTTTGGTTTTATTGGTATATGTCTTCTCATGATTCCTCTCAATTACATTAAGGTGCCACCACCATTCTCAGACAATTCACGTAACACACTCGAGGCTAGCGTGGAAGCTCTCATCCAAATTGGAAATAGTAGCTATTTATTGATAGCTGTCATCGGTTAGGCTATTCTCCTTTCTCAACTAGTTGCATGATTAACATCTCTTCGCTCTTGTCACGCTAGATTTTATATTACAGGCATAGCATTCAGTATCGCTTTCTTTAATTTTGCCGGTATTAGCGTTACCAAGGAAATAAGTGCTACAACGAGAATGATATTGGACAGTGTTCGTACATTCATAATCTGGGCTTTTTCTTTAGCAGTTGGATGGCAAGTTTTCCATTACTTGCAGGTACAACACTGAGAAAAGTTTTCAACAATATACAGAGAAAAAAGTAATTATTTGTTATATCTTATAAAATTGTGATTTCTCCCTACAGGTTATTGGCTTCATAGTTCTCTTGATTGGTATGGCGTGCTACAACAACATTGGCATTCTGCAATTATTCAGACTACTTCGTAGTCGTTTGGGTCGTTTTAATATGTTACCTGGAAACAAAAATCGTATTATTAATAACGACGGTATTATTTATGCCACCGGTATTGTTAATACCGCCGCAGATGATGTGCAAGAGACAATATGAGAAATTGTTGACTACTGTACACTGCAACCATTCTTAAAAAAAAAAAAAAAACTTTGATTTTTTATAAACAGACAATCCTAAGAATTCATTGTATCCTTTTCTTTTTGTTATATAGCTAACGTTTTTTATGTAAAATGGTCATTGTAAATATGCTATTAGACAAGATATCTGTTTAAATTTCATATACATTTATTTTATTTGTATGCACGAACTATATACAAAATTAACAATGAGATATGTACATACATATATATACACACACACATATACATCTTCATTTTAATCGAAATAGAGTTATCACACACAGGACATGCACTAATGAAAAAACATTGTGCAAAATGTTTAATTCAACTGCACCAAGTTATAATAACGTCATCACGTTGATACAATGTTACAGTGACCTTTTTCTCGTTAGGGTCACGATACGTTCAATATAAAATTCATACGCGATGCACTTTTGCGAAATCTGCAATCTTTCTCTAATGTATGTACATCAGGATCTATCAGACACATCTATATAATAACACATATCTTATAAATATCTATACTATATCTATGAATATACACACACACCACACATTTTTTAACGATATGAAAAAACGAAATAAAAATATCGCTGAGAGTACGTCTTCTGCTATCAGTTTTATTTTGTGTTCAATTATATAGGTCTGTTTTTCTCCTCTGATAACTCCGTCATCGTACTTTTAGCTTTTTTCGATAATATTTATGGTTGTTTGAGATATTTTCCTTTTCTAATATCCTCTTTTCTTTTTCTGATTATTTGGACTCAGATTTATCTTTATTATCCATTCATCCAAGGTACCGAGATACACGTCCTAAATAAATCAGGATGCCTACGAAGATCGTTCTACATTAGTTGCCGGCCGCAAGCAGACGCAATTCTTATTGCGACAGCCAATCAGAAGCATCAATAGTGCTATTGACGCTTCTGATTGGCTGTCGCAACAAGAGTTGTAATTGACTTGCAACTAATGTAAAACGATCTTTATGGACTTCTTCCAATGACGTATATACATAGACCAAATATTCTGTCCGCAAAGTGAAGCCGGAAGTTGGCAGTTTAAAACAGAGTGAGAAAGTTGATTTGCCCCTAGTGCTTTCTCACTTTATATTATTGACTATCAAGAAGGAGGATTCGTTTAACACTGCAAATATTTTAAAACGTTAAATAAAGCAATGTGATTGATCCATTCGGCGCTCTGAACCATTTACAGCACTAAATAGAACTATTTACAGAACTAAACCTTATCCAAGAACTGTATCCAGTCATAGCAATCTAACTTTTATCATGTGACAGTAGAATGAGAACAGGATAAGAGCAATTACTGTGATTATACACAGTATAAAATATTATAAATATCAATTTTATATCGAGATAAGTAAAATATACGGTTTTATTCTAATTCTATACTGCATTATATATAGCACTTGACAGCGGCCATATTCTTTCTATACGATAGAATAAGAAAGCACTAAGGGCAAATCAACTTTCTCACTCTGTTTTAAACTGCCAACTTCCGGCTTCACTCGCTACTAGGGATGTAAAAAGAATCGATGTTTAGAAAACGATGTTCGCTCATTGAGGATAGTATTACATGTAAAGAAAATATTAGGGTCTCTAGAAATTCTCTATCGACAGCCAATCGGTGCACGACTTTCTACATATAATACCGTCCTCAATGAGTGAACATCGATTCTTTTTACCCATCCCTACTCGCTGCTATAGCAGAAATATAGGAATGCTTGTCTATATATATACCATGTATGAAACAATGGGTGCGTTTAGGAGACACAGCGGTTACACAACGGTTGAATAATTAATCAACGTAATTGGTCTAAAGTTAGGGATCTAACAGTAAGGACCAATAATCACTGACCGCTCACTGATCAGCTATGTTTTCTGAACGCAGCCAATGTTTGAACAATGGCTTGGTTTACATCGTGCACTTGATACGCGTACTAAATAATAACTTTCTATTAGATAATCTTAATATTGACGATATATATAAACAATCGTATATTAAGTTGGTATAATACTCATCAACAAAACGTATTGTATTAATTGAATGCGTCGCCGTTGATATGTATTGTTGATATTAAGATTATCTAATAGAAAATTACTATTTAGTATGTGCATCAAGTGCACGATGTAAACCAAGCCATTGTTCATTATCGGCTGCGTTCCGACATGCGACAGCAACATACGGCGTATTATATTCCAGGCCTTAGGCTGATATTACATGTGTCGTACGACAAGCTTTTCGGATACGTTCATTGATTGACGAACAGAAAACCTAGAAATACTCTATTCGCCAACCAATAAACGTATCCGAAAAGCTTGTCGTACGACGCATGTAATATCAGCCTTAAAGATTCAAGCATGGTTGTGGACAAGAGGTTAGATAAAACATATCAGATAAAGGATTTTCCCTGTATCCGGAGGAAGCAAACTTGAAAGTATGTGAATATCTCTATTTTTTACAATAGAGAAAAAAGTTCGCTTGCTAGCAAAAGACACAAAGTCGTCTCATTGGCTAGATATCATCCGCAAATCATCTTTAGATGATATTTAGCCAATGAAACGACTTTGTGTCTCTTGTTGGAAAGCAATCTATACTTGTTCAGTGGTGTATACGCATTCAATCTTGCACTCCCTAGGATAGAATGTGTGCGAATGCGTCGATGCGTACTAACTATCTCGCTTCTCGTATCTCATATATATCGCTTGTTGATGCTATTCGTTTTTCGTGAATCCATCACAAACGTCAAAAGCGGTCTCGTTGTACTATTCACGTTGGAATATAGCATTTTGCTCAGCACGCGTCGTAGGAACACTACGGAGAGGTTCAGACAGGATTAACTCATTCACGGACAGTCGGACGTTGTCATTTCAAAACGGAAGCCATCTTGTGGCTGAGCCTCCCATATTATACGGGAATAATAGTCCACTGACTATTTGTTCCGATAAATTTCTCCGCACCTTTTCTAATACGTCTAGACTATGCATGAACCATTTTATCACGTGTTCACATAGCCATGGCTGCGACGAGAAAGTTGCAAGGTAAGAGGAAAGTGTTTCCAACATGTTTACATTCACATCAGAAATTCACTTTACGCACCGCATCACGCTACAATCGTGCAACTCGAATCGCCTCTCTCGTCTACCTTTGCTCTCGCCGCTGATGGTAACAATGTCGCGAGCAAAAGCGCGCAATTTGCACGTATGCTACGCATACAACGCGCCAAATCGCACGACAATCCAGCATCGGTATACCGTCGTTACTGCGGATCTCGAAGCGATTTAACATTTGCAGCATAAGCATTTGTGCCTGCTCGCTTCATCCCGCTTGTTTCAAGCAACCGCGATCATTGTTGTTCGAGATACCTCCTCTTAGAATACAGCGGATTTTTTATATATCGCCATAACCTTTAAACACATAAGATTCACGTCTAGCCTTAAGTCATTGGAAGTCGCAAGGTTCATTCATAAGGTCGAGTTAAGGTAGCCATATCTAGCGACATTTCAGCTGTAGCAATGTAATTGTCGGGAGAATTATAAGGCCAGCTATTGATTGTCAGCATCTAGTTTACTCAATCGCTTCTATGTGTTGTTGCGCTTCCACGTATGGGGAATTCTTTGTTATTGGAGTATCTCTTGTCTAATAAAACAGTTGATTGAGGGATTAAAGAGAGCAATGGAGTGAACGATATAAAAACTTACTATGCCTTGTTGTTTCAGGTGAAATAGATCGGTGCCTTAAAAAAGTAACAGAGGGTGTGGAGACCTTTGAAGATATCTGGCAGAAAGTTCATAATGCCACTAACAGCAATCAGAAAGAAAAATACGAGGCTGACCTTAAAAAGGAAATCAAGAAACTTCAAAGGTTACGCGATCAGATCAAAAGCTGGATCGCGTCGGGTGAGATCAAGGATAAGAGCACGCTTCTCGACTATAGGAAACTAATCGAGACTGTGAGTATACTTGCGAGTTGTAACGCACGTGCGCTACATACATCAGGTATTACCATAAATTCTTGCATAGTAAATGTTGTACAAATTTTTGCACAGCAAATGGAAAGATTCAAAGTCGTGGAGAGGGAAACAAAAACAAAGGCTTATTCAAAAGAAGGCTTGGGCGCGGCGCAAAAACTAGATCCAGCCCAGAAGGAGAGAGAAGAAGTCAGTAATTGGCTGGCCAATTCTATAGATTCTCTTAATCTACAGGTATCCATTGTTAAATTACCACCACCAGATAGACAGATAGAGGCAAGACAGAATGCGTTATGGACACATTGGCTAGAAAGCGCGAATAGCCATAACGTTTCTTTACCTGTACGCATGTGCACGGTGACACAGTCGCGTAACTTTTGTTCGTTCTTGATGTACAGCTGGATACATTCGAATCGGAAATAGAGTCGTTATTGGCGGGGAAGAAAAAAAGGTTAGACAAAGATAAACAAGATAGGATGGACGAGTTGAAGGCGAAACTCGATAAACACCGCTATCATATCCGTAAATTGGAAACATTGTTACGTATGCTCGACAATATGTCTGTCGAAGTCAACACAGTAAGTGCTTACGAATGAGCGTTTCGAGTGTATAATGTAGCGCGCGCCGTCCGATTTTCCATTCAAACGAGATTTTCTGTGAAATTGCGGACAGATTAAGAGGATAAAAGAGGACGTTGAATATTATATTGAATCTTCGCAAGAACCAGATTTCGAAGAAAACGAATATATTTATGACGATATTATCGGCCTTGATGAAGTTGAGTTATCCGGGGTTGGCATCCCTTCATCAGCAACGACGGATAGTAACAACAGCAACGAGACCGGGGGTACGCCAACTTCAACCAATTCCTGTACTTCGCCTTCCGCTATACCATCGCCGCCGTTGAGCTCTACGCTACATAATCATTCGAGCGACAGTTCTACGGAGAATGACAAGAAAACAAAGGTATGCGCCGCCCTAGCGAAACTCCGGTATGGATACTCGACGAATATATTATCTCAGCAATGTCTCCGCATCTTTTTTTCAGCCTGTGAAACCGACAGCTGTCAGGCCGTTACTGAATACGCAAGCGAGCATTCCAACCACGGGAAGCACTGCCACCATCAAATCGAACATGTTACCGAGCAGCACTCCGAGTAAAACCATTCCCATGACACCTAGCCATAGCTCGCCTAGTTCTACGAGCAATCACATCGCCACGACTAACGCCGGCAATTTTGCCACCGTAGCTGCCTCGCACAGTAATTCGCAAGCCATTCATTCTACCTCTAATAAAACATCCAGTAAGACTTTTGTATTCTGTCTTTTTCTCTACTCTGTTTTTTCATATCTCTTTCTCTCGCACGCGTTTTACTCGCGAACAATTTTATTCGGCATTCCGCAGAGTCGCGTAACGGATATTGTCGTTCAAAATTGATTCTCGCATTCGTGCAATCACGCACCTTCGATACCCTATGCCATAAACACATCTTTTGCAATGTTTACAGGTCATAACAGCGAAAATGGTATTTTGTCGTCATCGTCATCGTCGTCTACGTCCAACGTTACGACCAATGTGCCACAAACAGTCGCGCAGCAGCACAATAATAATCCGCCGCCGCCGCCGCCGCCGACACAGACGACGCATGTACTGCACAGCCAGCAAAGTCAAAATCATAATAGCGAAACGGAGATCGTTACGCCGGTACCACCATCCTCTTCGCCGCAGTCGTCCGTTAGCAGTAGATCCTCACCGCTGCCCGCGAATTCCTGCTCGCCAGCACCGTCCACTGCCAATGGTCTCATCCCTAAACTTCCCGACGGCATGTCCTCCCTAAAATCCATCGCCCAACAAGTCATTGTCCGAGCAGGTCTGGAGATGCCACCCTCCGAGCCGAATCGAAACATTTTCGATAGTGCCAAGACGAACAGCAATAACAACAACAATGCTACATCGGAAGCAAACATTCCTCCCTTGCTCGGTGTCGCGCCTCTCGGGCCTGTACCTCTACAAAAAGAACACCAGTTACAGTTTCAAATGATGGAAGCTGCCTACTATCACATGCCGCATCCATCCGACTCCGAAAGATTACGTTCGTACTTGCCGAGAAATACATGTGCAACTCCACCTTATTACCAGCAGGTACGCCACGCACCTTTCACCATATTTTCTATCTTTTCTATTAATCGTTATTAACGGCTCGTTCATCTTTTCTCATCGTGTACGCGTCATTTCGGGAGAAGCGCATCGTTAATTCATTTTACATGCGCACACACACTGACCGCTAAAATATAAACCTGTTGACTCGATCAGATCCAGCTTCCACACTCGGATACTGTGGAGTTCTTCCAACGTCTTTCTACGGAAACTTTATTCTTCATATTTTATTATATGGAGGGCTCTAAGGGACAGTATTTGGCAGCAAAAGCACTAAAAAAACAAAGTTGGAGGTTTCATACCAAGTACATGATGTGGTTTCAAAGGCACGAGGAGCCGAAAGTTATCAACGAGGAATTCGAACAGGTAATTGTTTTTTCTACTTTAGAAAAAAAAAGACGAAACAGTCGTAAATTTTAAACGCTCCGCGTAACTAGGTAAGTCGCGAAAATTGTTAAAGATTGTTCTTCGTCGCATATATGTATCTTAATATAAGAATGTACCATAAGAATTATCCCGCTTTTCAGGGAACGTACATCTATTTTGATTACGAGAAATGGGGACAGAGGAAAAAAGAAGGCTTTACTTTTGAGTACAAGTACTTAGAAGACAGAGACCTGAATTAACAGTTCCGTCGCTCGTTTTGTCTTCGGAATACGCCGTTCCTGTACCGGTATTGTGTACCCAAAGGAGAAATTTCGCGGAATATGTTTCTGTTCCTTGGTAATGGGATATGTAAGAAGGAGAAAAATTAAATCACGAGGAACAAACTCGTGAATACAATGCAATGAAGGCATTTCATTATATTTTGACGCCGCGACGATACAACAATCTTTTAATCGATCTTTTCCTCGAAAGTAAACTGCGAGATAGATCACATAAAAAGAACGAAAAGAAACGGACTAACGACGAGACAAAGAGCTAGATCAGTCCGCAGGAAGTAAAATGCTAATAATTATTATTATAAATGATTACAATATGTATATGTATGTATGTATATATATATATATATATATATATATATATATATATATATATACGTGTGTGTATGTGTGTGTACACGCGTATACACACATATATATACATATATATATACGCGCGCGCGAAAACGAAAACAGGACGAGTGAAACAGAATGAAAGGTAAAAAGTACTAGAGAACATTTGGAGTTATACAGTGTGCTGTATGTGATAACGAAAAGAGGACTTTAAGGCGGAAGAATAGGAGAGAAGGGAGGTAATTGCACTAGTTGGCGACTGATTCTGTAATACCAGTACAAAAATGCGTGCGGCCCACCCGCCGTCTGCTAAGGTGGAGGGCGCTCATGCTATGGTACATCTTAATGTTAGATTATAAGTAGCCTTTTTGTATAAAGTGTATCGAGGTATAAAACTCTTAAATTCAATTACTGTACAGAATGTGTAGAAATAGTGAATAATAATACTATGGAATATATTTTACCTCTCATTTAAATGAAACCTAAGTTGTTTCGATTTTTGTCATTACACTAGCACATTTCTCAACCTGCGTTTGGAAAACATTCCATCCATCGTAATTAGAATCTGCTCTCAAAATAGGTTACTTATATACTCATTCTAACGATTAACCAGTTCATGGAGCTCGTCGTCAAGGTCTAAGATTATACCACGTATATGTACGTGTGTATATATATATATGTGTGTGTGTGTGTGTATGTATGTATGTGTATATGTATATATGTGTGTATATATATATATATATATATATATATATATATATATGCGCGTGTGTGGCTGTGTCTCTCTCTCTCTCTGTATGTGTGTGACTGTGTGTATGTGTGTGTATGTATGTATGTATATATATATATATGTATGTATGTATATATATATCATTTTTTACATATTATATACACACACATAACAATATAGTGCATGTGTTAGGTTTAACTAAGGTACTTTTCAAAGTGCTGCACACTTTGTGGTTTTTAGATTACAATAATTTATAACATTTCCTTCAAGAGACTAATTGCAATTATTCGATGAATCATTGTCGATGTACATATATATATATTTATAAATATTTTTTTATCAAGAGTCGCACAAAGAGAAGAGTTATACTGTGCGAGTTTATTTATTATGAATTATCGATACATACATACATACATACATATATATATATATATATATATATATATACACATATATATATATACATACACATATATATATATATATTTTTTTTACACAATCTCTCGATATGTCACGACGCATTAAAGTCTTGATGTATATGTATACATCAGAGTACTCTTTTTTTTTTTTATAATTGTGAAATATTACAAAGACATTAGTTGATATCATCATTACAAGTTTTGAAGTACTCGGTGATACACACACATAAATATATATGCGCGCGCCACATGACACACATACACACAACAAACACATATATATAGAAAGAGAATATCGGTGATTTGAAATAAATCATTTCGGACAAAGTCGTCCATTACACAACGCAGATCGAAACAATCCTTTTGCGTAGGCGCGTTGTTCACCGTCGTGTAAAAGCCTTCGACAACGAGAATTAGATATGTACAGCCCTCTTATAATAAAAATCAAGTTGAGATTTTCGAATACGATTGTTCAATGGATAGAGAGATCTAATTACAGAATAAAGAGCGTAGCGTATATATGTACTCTAAGCAAATACTCTTATTGCAAACACAGCAAAAGCTGCGGCAATCGATATTATTTGTTACCGCGCGCGACCACGTAATCTCCGAGTTTATTTTAAGTGATCCAGCAGGCATATTATGCATTCATAAATACATCATGGCAAAATGTCTACGACACTTACGAATTTATAAACATACAATTTGTAGACATTTCACAATTTCAACTCGTTCGGCAAATGTCCCGAGCGCGTCGGACGATGAATATTCGATGAATATTCGCTTGCACACGATTCAAAATATATCTATTAATAACCGCAATGCTTCAATAACCGTTTTAGATGCGTGGTGGTCAGTATGACCACATTTTGACATCGTAATGTCTAATTTTAATTAGTGCTTCTTTTTGCAACGAAACAATAGCCGCAGCATCCAAGTATTTCCCAAGTAGTGCACGTTTACGTTTGTTATATCTTACGTAATACGCGAATAAGAATCTGTTGCCACACACTTTATATGATTAATAATCTCGTAGTAACTAGAGGATACATCGTAGTTGTAAATTTTGAAGGGACAGTTTCCTTGTACCGTATTTTGTATTACAGAAACTTGTACAATGGATTATTGATTTTCTATAGAAGTTTTATGAAAACTAATTGATTGATTAGCAATTTTACAGTAGTAGTATAAAGACTGTAGTTAACGATCATAACGTTCGCGTCGTACACCTTCTTGCTATAGGGACGGTCGTGCTTTCCTTTGTCTCTGCATTTCTTCTCGTGAACGATCCCGTTTCGTGATGATGCTGAAATAGAAGCCTGCAAATGAAACAAGACCTCCGTTTATTGTATAATAACAAACTTTGCTTCGATAAACTTGCTTCATTAAATTTCCTTAACGCGTTTCCCGCAAATAATAAAAAATTGTGATTTTACTTAATAACATATTTTATTGTGATTATTTGAGTGATATTTAAATATCATATTGCTCTGTGCAAAGACTCAAAGTCGTTGAAATACATTACCGATTTCTTCAATATTATTTTGTTTGCTTTATTATGAAACCTTGCATGCAGAGTTCCGTAGAAGTATTTTCTATAAATTTATATCCTACTATTCACTCTCTAATTCGTTCGAAGCAATGCAATGTATCTTGCGCTTCGCTGTACGAAACGATACGCTCGAGAGAAGGCTGATGAAGAATTGGCCGATTACTCATTGACGCAACAACGATAAACAATAAAGACATGGAGTCGAGTTTATATATATATATTTTTTTTATTTGTGTGTGTGTATATATATATATATATATATATATATATATATATATATATATATATATATATATATATATATATATATATAATGACTTATTATTAACCGTCCAAAAAAATTGCATCTACCTGTGCGTCATTTTTGAGATTTTACTCTAAATACAAAAATCTTGTATACAAAGAGTCTACGTACAATAGTGCGCGTGAAAATATAATTTTGTAGAATATGCAATAATTGAGACGTTGCTACCAGCGTCACATATGTGCAACAACGATAATTTTTTTTCTATAATTTTTTTCTATTTTATTTTCTCTATCTTATTTCAATAAAATATCTCATGCAATTATATGAAAAAAATGTAAAATGGACCATAGCGTAAGTTTTTTAAATGAAGTGCGGGCGTATTATGATATTGTATTTTCAATACGAACAGTGAACCATTACTCAACACTGTACTAGAACAAACTGTCCAATCGATGAGACCCGACGAGATCCCATCATTAAGTGCGACAATTCGTTTGATTCAAGAGCTTTATGTGCCTTTTATACATTATTTGAACATTATTTTCTATTTCCATGTTATTGAAAAAAAAAAAACTAAAAAGGCAAGTCTTGTACAAAGTGGAGAAAGAGGAAAGAAAACAAATCTCTTCAAAAGTTTAAGCATAATATAATTTTAAGAAAAAGGTAAATGCTATTTTATATTGAATAGAAATTATACAGATTTTATATAGAAATGGAATGAATGGTTATATATTGGTGATGCATCTTACGGCGTGTAATAACGACGTCATCTTCTTTTCCCCATTTTCTTGCCATTTCCTTTGATTCGTTTTCTTACTCCAATCGATTGTTCTGTGTCATCTTCATTGTCGTCAGCACGCTTTCTCCTTTTACCCGACTTTTTGTTCTCTTCGATGTCTTTCACCTCCTAGAGAATTGCAATATTTACAAGTGTCTACACGCGCGCAAACGCACCAATTCTTAAAATATTTTCCTTTGCAATTACCATTTTTACTATTCGTTGTGCCTCGATTACTCTTTCTTGTAGTAACATTACTTCCTCCTCTTCTGTAGGCCACAATGGCAACTGCTTCGATATCAGCTGTTCTATTCGTTGATATAGCTCGACATCGTATTGTGTAACAAACGTGATAGAACGACCGGATCGACCTGCACGTGCAGTTCTACCTACTCTATGTATGTAATCCTTACTATGCGTGGGAATGTCAAAATTGATAACAATATCTACGTGCGGAATATCGAGACCTCTGTAAGTGCAAAAGTGTTTCGTCATGGCGCTGTTTGTACACTTAATATGATCTTTCTAGACGTGAACTCACCTACTAGCAACGTCCGTTGAAATTAATATAGACCTATTTTTCGCTTTAAATTTTGTAAGCGCAGCGATTCTTTTGTTTTGTGACATTTGTCCATGCAAGGGCACTGCCATGAAACCCAGATTTCGTAACAATAGAGCAGTCCTGACAGTATTATTGCAGGTTGCGCAGAATATCATAAAACTATTGCCAGCCAACTCATTTAAGATATGCACCAGATACACGTCCTACCATTGATCATTTTATGTGTATAACATTATTTTCGTATAACTACGTAACAGTCATTTCGCATCGTAATTAACGATTGTGTAATAATAATCGCTATATTTAGTATACATACCTTGAATTTCACTGGAATAAATAAATAATATTGTTGCAGTTTCTCTACAGTTTGATATTTGGTAGATACTTCGACTTTCACAGGATTTCGTAAAGATGCACGTTGTAGTTTTTGCACTTTCTTAGTCATGGTCGCGGAAAATAGTAATGTTCTCCTTTCTCGTGGTATTACTCGGAGAATTTTATCAACTTCCACTTCGAAATCCATATTTAGGATACGATCTGCTTCATCCATAACCTTAAAAGTGAAATAACAAATAAATAAGATTTGGATTGATTCGATAAACATCAAAAGTAAATGTATTATTTGATTACCAGAAATTTTAAGTTTCGTAAACTAAAGCCTTTTGTATTTTCCAAATGATCGACCAATCTTCCAGGTGTGGCAATAATGATATGAGGTTTTTTACTGAGCAGTAGCGCTTGTGCACTCATGTCCATCCCACCTACTAATACTGCACACTTCACACCAATACTGGAACCTGAAGCACATATAATTCATATAATATAAACCAAAGTAAAAATTAATAGCCTAACCTGTTCCTCTCTTTTCTTACCTAATGCTTCAAATTGTTCCGAAATTTGAAATGCCAGTTCTCTTGTAGGTGTCAGTACAAGTGCAAAATATCTCTGTGGATTTTCTAACAATGCCTGCAACATAGGCAGTGCAAAAGCAGCAGTTTTTCCCGATCCAGTCTCTGCTAGTCCTATTACATCCTTGCCTATCAAATAAAGATCAATTTAGTTCTGTTGATTGATCTAGCTGTTTTTCAAAATTGAGTTTTATATTATTGCTGAAATTACCTTCAAGTGTCAAAGGAATAGCTTCTCGTTGAATCTTTGTAGGTTCTTCCCATTTTAAGTCATGACAAGCTTTGCAAAGTGTGTCTACAATGCCCTACAAAAGACAGTTAAATATTTCGAATATACCTTTCATATCGAATATTTTCAAAGGTATGCTCATTTCATGCCTTTGAAACTAAATTTTTTTAAGTTATTAAAATGATCATTCAATGCGCTGCATAATTGTTATATTATTCACACCTATTTCTCTTTATGGTAAGCAGTGTAATATTAACCTTTAGACTGCCGGGAAAGTCACTTTTGTGGCTCTGCACAAATCTCAAAATTCTACGCCATGTGTATGTTACTTACATAGAAAATTTTTGAGAAAAAGAAACTACTTTTTTAATGAAAAAATGCCGGCAGCCTAAAAATTAATCAAATAATGTACACTTTTGTTTCCATAACAAGTTATTTATGATATAGTTTTATATCACAAAGTACACAAAATTATAATGTTCATTAGACTAATTATAAAGTTACGACACGTGCGTGATTTTGAGGTTATATTTGAGATCACAATTATTCAGTACTTACTAAATCTTTCCAAGTAATTTTCTCGTTATTTTCATTATGAGTATTCTCAACTTGCTTGGATTCCATACTTAGACACGTTCTTAAACTTTTGCTTTATTGTTTGAAAATCGAAATCACATCTAAAGAAAAAGAAGAATAGGCTGCGTTCCGTATTATGTATTATGCACACATTTTCTACAGTACACGTGACATGAACTATAGATAAATGCTCGCATATGCGTAATGGGCACTGAACATATGTGGTCTGTTCTTTTCAGCTGCACTGATGAACTGGTGCAATAAGTTAGAGTAAGAAAAAATATACTTATCTCACTTTAACTTATTGCACCAGTTTAGCAGTGCAGCTGAAAAGAACAAACCAATATACTACCTAGGTTCTTGCACACAGGACACGGTAAGGGTGCCGTCCCATTGAGCACGGATCGGAACGCCGGATCGGATTTCTTACTATAATGAGCGTTCCGTTCTCTAGTTCCGTTCCGTAAAAGTTTCCTCTACCAGTCCCATGTAGCAAAAACGGAACGGAATGGCGCGTCGGTCGCAAATAAATATGATTAATTCGTCAATATTTCGTTATTTTGACGCGACAGAATTAATTATATACATAATTTATGCAATTATCTTGCCGATAACATTGTCATGAATATTCTGAAATATTTAATTGAAGAGTGAAATATATTTTATAACTAGAAATCCGTTCCGTTTTTGCTACATGGGACTGGTAGAGGAAACTTTTACGGAACGGAACTAGAGAACGGAACGCTCATTATAGTAAGAAATCCGATCCGGCGTTCCGATCCGTGCTCAATGGGACGGCACCCTAATGCTTGCCGTGCGGCGGAAGTTCGCGCGACAGCCAATCAATATGCTGCTTTCCGTAATAACTTTCTAGCTCTTACGGAAAACAACATATTGATTGGACTTCCGTCGCGCGGCAAGCATTACCGCGTCCTGTGTGCAGAAGCCATTACGAGCGTTAAATAACTTAACCTAACTAAACTAACCAACCAAACGCTAATGTGGTCACGAAACGAAAAAACGCCTCTAGTAAATTACCAGGTCGAACCAATCGGGAGTGTCCCGATTGACCACAGTACGATTGGACACAATCAACCGATGAAAAGAATTATCTAGTGAATTACTAGGTCGAACCAATCGTTACAATCTGTGTCCAATCGTACCGTGGTCAATCGGGTCCCATCCTGTCTCGAACAGCGCTCTGTATTTATCTAGTATAGTCTAAACCAAAAGCCAAGTCGGCTGATTTCTAAATATAAGGGCCCATATTCTGAATCCTCTTTTATCTATAAAGGTGCGGGTCCAATGGTCCGTAAACATATCCGAATCCGTAACCATAAACAAAATCGAGTCGTGATTGGTCATGATATATATCATTAACGTTACGGATACGGATGTTTACGGACCATTGGAGCCGCACCTTAAGGCCTGGAACACAATACGCCGTATGTCGCTGTCGCATATCAGAACGCAGCCGATGGTCCAATGAGGAGAACCCATTCTCGAAAAATAAATTCTTTCATTGAACCACCGGCTGCGTCCCGACATGCGATAGCGACATATGGCGTATTGTGTTACAGGCCTAAAGATGCGTTCCCATTTAGCGCGTCACGCGCACGTCGTCCGTCGCGGACCAATCAAATCGTCCCATTTTATTGCCTAACTTTACGACGAATAAAATGGGACGATTTGACTGGTCCGCCAAGAATGACGCGCGCGTAACGCGCTAAGTGGGAACGCACCTTAATGCGTGAAATGGTATCTCACTTCTCTACACTTTAATGCTATGTAAAGACGGTTTTTTGAAATATTCATTTGACTTGTCGTTGAGTCTCCTATTTATTTTTTTTCGCTAGCACAACTTGTTCAATGGCGAGACAACAGCGAGAAGCCAAGGATCACAATAAGATAAATGAGAAAAACTTGATTGTCGTTTCAAGGATCTTATTAGAAACTGTACATTTTTTTTTTGTCATATAAAGCGCTTTGACATTATCCTTAAAAAGTCAGAAAGCACCAGAGATTTACCATTTTTCGCTTGCACCTCCCCAGCTTTGGGTAGCAGGTGTTGCCACCGGTGTCGACCACTCCTCTGGGGGCTGTGCAATACGACACAGACAATTACAGTTAATAATAGTCTGGAGATATTCAATTGTCGAGGAAGATTATTACCCGTTACAAATTTTCGTTCCTTTCTTCTCTTGTTAAAAATCTCTCAACCCTCAAAAAATAATCCTATTGAAATGTTTGTGCGTCTAATGCTAATTCTATCTACTTTGATTAACTTAACCAGTTAACCAATCGCATTTCTCATTAGTTAGATTTAACATATGCGATTGCTCAATTCCAGTTGGAATAACCAGCCAGTTAAGTTAACCAAAGTTGATAAAAATGAGAATAAAGTCTATTCTATAATGGCAATAAGCAGTAAAAAGTAAGAAATTGATCAATCACAGTTGATTATCTTCCTCACATTCGACTGCGATTGATCAATTTCTTAAGAAGTGTCTACATTGGAAGTAAGCAGTAAGAAGTAGGAAGTAAGAATAAGAAATTGACCAATCATAGTTAATTATTCTTCTCACATTCGACTGTGGTTGGTCAATTTCTTACTCTTACTTCCTACTTCTTACTACTTACTTCCAATGTAGACGTCCCTTTAGGCCCGATCTACAATAGATGGAGTAGGAGTAAGAAATAAGCAGTAAGCAAATTGTTCAATTCCATTCTCACGATTCAAGAATAATCGATTGTGATTGGTCCATTTACTTACTGCTTATTTCTTACTCCTTACTCCATGTATTGTAGATCGGGCCTTACTCTTACTTCTTACTACTTACTGGGTGCTTTCCAGTTACATTTTATGTATTACACAAAACCAGTTTATTGGTTTATATTATCTTACAAAATATTTTAGATAATATACGACCAATAAACTGGTTTTGTGTACGTATGTGTCAAGGTATGTTAAACAATTGGAAAGCACCCACCATTGTAGAATAGACTTTAAGCCTATTTGAAAATAAAAACGTTAGTCTTTTAATGCACTCGTTTGAAGAAAAATTGGCTGCGTTCAGCAGAGAAAGCTGATTTGCAACTGTGTAAAATTCGTGAATCTGATTGGTACATGCTCTTGGATTTAACCAAAATTAAGAGCATACTCCAATCAGATTCACGAATTTTATAACAGTTGCAAAGCAGCTTTTTCTGTTGAACACAACCAATGATTTCAAGAGGCACAGAATTTATATACGAAAAATAAGTTTTTCAACAATGAGATTATGGGATTATCTCGTCGACGAGCTATTAAGAATAAATGATAATCAGAAAAATGCATCACCTGTGCAGCCCAGTCGCCACCAGCTTGAAAAGACTGCGCAGTATTAGTCGTGGTAATAGCAGTGGCTGTTGGCGGTGCCACATCGTCAGCCCAATTCTCTGTGGTCACAGCGGTTGTTTCAACTTCGTTCACCCAGCCAGGTTCAGGAGCTGGAGTAGCCTCTACCGGAGCCGTAAATTCCTTGACCGGCGCAATTTCTTTCGCAGCCTGTTCTTCCTTCTCTGCCTGAAAAACAAAAACATGCAGTATCTTTTTTTTTAATATATTTTTTCGCTCTTTCCAAACGGAGAAGGAAGAAAAGATTAAGCCATAAAAATACCAATAGATTTGTTTCTGGATCCTATTGTTTCATCGCTGTGCTAAATGATTAAAACGATGGAAGAATCTAAGTGAGAAAGGCAGCAGAAAGATAGTCGCACGAACCTCTTCGGGATCTCTATAAAAGAAAAGATCCACCACCACGTCCCACTTGGTTTCTCGTGGGATAGAGCCTCTCAGACGCAGGACTTCCCTGGCGAGTAGCCACCACATCAGACCGACAGTATGCAGACTTTTGGTGTTGCAAGGAATGGCAATGTCTACGAAGCGCAGTGGCGAGTCAGTGTTGCAGAATGCGATTACCGGGATGTTTACATAGCTGGCTTCGGTAATGGGCTGGTGGTCGGTGGAGGGATCCGTGACTATTAACAAACGCGGTTCTCGAAATGCAGCCTACAAAACGATAAAATCAAGGGCTGCTGCTGCATCCTCTTCGTTATTTATGTATCCACTAGATATCCAACTGCTTATTTGTTCTATGGTTATTCAGTAACAAAATGCTAAACAATGAATCGTGATAGTGAATTGCTGCACCTGGATCTGATTGGTGAATGCACCAGGGGTAAAACGTCCGGCGATAGGTGTAGCGCCGGTATGGGCCGCAAACTTTAGCACAGCTCTTTGGCCCGAATGACGGCAGCTAATTACAAATACTTCACTAGGGTGCTCGATGGCGACGATAGCACGAGCCGCTAGCAACAGTTTTTCCCACGTATGACGAAGGTTGATGACATTAACGCCTGCACCTGTGCAAAATCTTGTTGATTACAGTCAAACTTGTACATAGTATATTTGACAATTCATAACACATCCATCGTGTATAGATAAAACTCATCAAACTGGACACAAAATTTTTCTGCCATTTAGTAAACAATCATATAAAATTTTGTGTTATTGAGTAATGAAGTTTGGCAAATGATCATGCACGATATGATGGATGAGCTGTTACATCTGCTTCTGCCAATTTACAAATAACTATGCAGATTTTAGTCAGTAATTAAAGAAGATTGGTGCATAATTGTGTATAAAAATATACCAGTATCTTTTATATATGTTTAATAAGAAAAAAATGCATGTTTAGTTATTTGCAAAAGGATTGAGAACTATCTTATTCAGTTTGATCTAATGTACAAGCACATGACAGTTGACATTGCTATCACACTAGTTCATCTACTATATTGTGCGTAATCATTCATTTTAATTCTTTACATCTTCTTTAATCAATAATTCAAAAGTTTACGTGGTTGTTTGCAAAATACTGGAGGAATTCTGTATTCAATTTGACAAATTCTTTTCAATGAATATGTCATGAATTGTCATTCTACAGAATATATAGAAACACTAATAATAGTAGTTCATCCATATATACTCACCATCAACTCTCTTCTTATAAACATATTGTTCCATTTGAAAATTTACATTTTCAGCACCCAGATGGGTACCAGCAGCCAACATCTTAGTAACATCTTCTTCCTTCAGGGTTAACACATCTAAACCTCCTGACATTTTTACGTTGTGATTGAATTACGAGTCAACCTAAAATAGAATTTTCTCTTCAAACTCATCGATACAAAACTGTATTATACTCTTATTCTGTAAGACAAAATGCATTTTCTATGTATTTTTTGAATGTTTTATCTAGTTATCCGATAATTACTTCCCTCCATATATATATTAGTATTTTACATTTAAATAAATTGCATACAATTATATGTTAGATTGATATTAATTAACACGAATTAACGCAAAAACAATTGTTTCGAGTAAGATACATAACCTTAAATTTGTGTCTCATGATACTATTTAGTTTTATGAATTTTCATATAAATATTATATAGCAAAATATTTTCTCGCTCGAACCTATATATCCAGAAAATTTCAAAGTGTATACATATATAAATACACACGCAGATTTTAATTTACATATCATATAAAATTTTTTCCTACGAAAGTTTGCCACGTGCACGAGAAGTAAATTTCGTAAAATAGGTATGAAAAATCGCTAGATTTATTTAACATAAAATCTGGAATATTCCTTTATCTTAAATTATTGTATATATATTTTATCTACTTTGTTATATCAAAAATTATGAAAAAATATTAAAATACTCACGCTTTAAGATGCCACTAGGAGGCTTCCAACTGGAAAAGGATTCGACCACAAATATTTATACTATTCTAGACCAGGGCTGCGTTCAGATTCCCCACTCGGGTGTATTCTATTACTAGAAGTGCTATAGTATATGTGACATATACTATAATGTTTCTAGTAATAGAGTGCATCCGGATGAGGAATCTGAACGCATCTCAGTGCTGCGAGTTCGGGTAACTTTTGGTGCGTTCGGTTTGGGCGCTTTGCGCTGTAAGCGTCATTCTATCTTTATCGTTCATTACCTGCGGGAAAAAGATAGAATGACGTTTACAGTTTGCTTTCCAATTGCTTAACACATCTTGACACACACGTACACAAACCAGTTTATTAGTCACATATTATCTAAAATATCTTGTAAGATAATATGCAACCAATAAGTTGGTTTTGTGTAACACAGAGTACGCAACTGGAAAGCACCCAGCGTAAAGCACCCAAAGCGAACGCACTAAAAGTTAGGCTGATATAGGTTGCTTTCCAACAAAAGACACAAGTCGACACAAACATCATTCTATCTTTGTTCCACATTTAGTGAATAACAAAGGGTGCTTTCCAATTGCTTAACATATCTTTGGGTGCTTTCCAGCTACGTTACACTGTGTTACACAAAACCAGTTTATTGGTCACATATTATCTAAAATATCTTGTAAGATAATATGCAACCAATAAACTGGTTTTGTGTAACACAATGGCTGCGTTCCGAAATGTACTGCCAATATTGAAAATCTATAGTTTATGTTACGTATATTATAGAATTTCAGTACTGGCAGTGAATTTCGAAACGCAGCCAATGTACGTAATTGGAAAACACCCCTTGACATATGTACACAGAAATGCACAAAGTGTAACGTTGTGCACGATTCAATTGGAACAAAGTGTGTACTAATGTGTATGTATGTCGGATAAGGTTAGGATTATTTTTCAACTATGCTTATATTTTGGTATTTTTTAATAATAAATAATAAAATCTAAATAATAAAAAAGATATTATCCA